AGGCAACAGGAGGAAATACAGTGACAGGATGCCTTTCAAGAAGATCCTTTCAAGAACAAATTAGATAGATTTCTGTTAGGAAATAATATCTCGGGATACAGTATATAGTTTGGGACGTGACATGTGCAAACGACTGCCAGGATGGTGGAAGGCAAACTGGATGGGAGTTTATACTATAATAATATATAATATAATAATCCTTGCATTTGATATAGCACTTTTCACGTCTTCTAGTTGTTTCAAAGTGCTTCACAGAATATACTGTAAAGTGAATTGACTATATAATTGTGGGCGAAACGCGGCAGCCAATTGCGCACAGCAGTGTCCCACTGCAATCCAAATACAATCATTTTGTCTCCACTGATGTTATATGTGATGCAATCTGACCGAACTTGCTCAATTGGAGTTTTTAAAAATAAAACATATTCAAGTGAGTTTTGAAGGGCGAGGATCGGTGGCATTTGGCTGCAATGTCTATTGCTTAGTTGAAACACAATAAATACTATTCCCATAAAGGTCTGATGCCCTGTTTCTGTCCCTGCTTGTAATTTTCACTTGTTATGAACTTCTGGCACAAACACAGCAACTTGGGAGAAATAAACAGCGGAATGTTACTTTATTTTATTTGTGGTGAGAGAGGAGATTTCTATCAGCCTCACATAAACACCTTTTGTGATTCTGCGAATTGAAAATGGAAATTAAAAGTCAGCACGTCTTTTAATTTAATACCTTCCTCGAGTACGAACTCTGGGCAATCTGTAAGGATATAAAGAGAAACTGCGAATGATTGAATTCAGGAAAAGGTAGGCACTTAACCTTTCAGAAAATATCTTTCCTCAGAATACTAGTCCCTGAGGGATACTGCATTTAGTTCAAATGATTACATCACCTATAGACTGATAAGACTGTAACTGACTGACCAAACATAGAGATGGCTCCCATGTCTCAATGGATTTGCAAACTGTCTCTGTCTCCGTGATCTCCCCTCTTAATTTTTCTTCAGTGTTAACAGCCACTGATGAAAGACCATTTGCAGACGGTTCCTTGAACACTGAGGATCGTTGGGGCTATTTGTGGAACAAATCTAAAGCCAAATGGATGAGCGTGCCCATCACCGAATGGATTGACTTCAAGATCCTCACTCTCGAGTTCAAATCCATTCATTCCCTGGAACCTCCCTACCTCTCCGACCTCCTCACTCCCCAATCCGTTACCCAGCTCCTCCGCTTGACTGGCACCGGCCTCCTGCCCGTCCCTCGCACCCTCCGCCCCACCATCGGAGGGCGGTCGTGCTTTCAGCCATGATGCCCCAAATCTCTGGAACACTCTCCCTCAATCCCTCCGCCTTGCCCCCCCCCCCTCTCCCCTCTTTGAAGTCCGACCTGAAGACTTTTCTGTTTGACCATGCTTACGGCCACCTCCCCCCCTCCCCCCTGCTCGGAGTCAGGCTCTGTCACTGTTAAGCACTCTGAGGCGCTACCCTGCTTGGTGGGCGCTATATAAGTGCAAGTTGTTGTTGTTGTTGGTTGGTGGTGGTGGCGGCACGGCACAGTTAATTGCTTCAGAAATATTCTGTTTACTTCCCTTTTGCCTCTGGAGGACTTTTTTTTACACACACGAAGGGCTGAGCCATAGGTTTCAAACCCAGAATCTTTTGATGCCAAGTCTACAACAATAACAACAACAAATTACTTTTATGCAGCACCTTTCACATTGCAAGGACATCCCAAGGCGCTCAGTCTAGTGCTCATCGTGAAATGACCGACACAATTCTTCCATATCTGGGCTTTAAATTTTGCTCAGACATTGCAGCTCAGGGATCGAAAGATTACGTAACTCGATTGCGCTCTGTTCAAGGTTGCTTCTGATTAATCACTTTGTTTCATTTTGAAAATACGGGCTGAAGTCTGTGTGTTTCCCCTTTACGCCTTCCTTACAACATGACACACATTTCACAAACAACATTACCCCATAAATCAGTCTCCCCAGCTTCCCCCGCTCTGCCTCACAGCTTTTGGCTGTTTCCCTTACTTTCGCAGAGAAAAACATCAGTGGTTTAAAGCAGAACTTTGAGAAAGCTGTTGGATAGTGGGGAGGGGAGGAGGGCGTTAGAGGAAGCATTTCCACAAAGTTTTCTGAATGAATGCCAAAAAGGAGTCATTTACCATTAGGTATTGGCTGAGAAATTAGTGGTTAGCCAGCAGCTTTCCTGCCGTTCCCTAGATCAATGCCTTTATAACATTCCAGGAAATGGAAAAGGGCAGAGTGAACTCTTGTTAGGTGGAAGAGTTTCCGTGGTTGGAGTCCTATAATTTTTTCAGCTTCCCCCAGGGAACGTTGGAGAATCTGGAGCCGGCCCGTAAATTTACTCCTTTCTGAATTTTTCAAATTATACACTTACTTAGGTACTTGCGAGTTTAGGATCGGGTTACTGGAAGGGAGAGCTTGCATGGGCAGGATGAGTTCTGCTCTTGGTGAACGGAGAGGTATCGAGGACAACCGTGAGGCCAATCCTGTCCTGATCATCTCACCTTCCACCCCGTAGCACGAGGAAGGAGTGGTACAAAAATCTGGGAAAGAGAAGGAAATCTAAAAGAAAATAAATTGCTAAACAGGGACAGGAGAAGTTATTTTCAGTCCGTATCTCAGTGTAATCATTGCATTTGGTATATCACGCCTTATCACGTCAGAAGGATGTCTCAAAGCTCCTCACAGGAATTACTGACCGGATTTGCAAGCGAACGTGGCAGCCAATTTTGCACACAGCAACGTCCCACAGCCACGCAGGCCACCTGGAATCTCAGCCCACTAAAGATCTCAACAACAACAACTTGCAGTTATATATAGCGCCCTTCACGCAGGATAGCGTCCCTGAGTGTTTCACAGTGGCGGAGTCTGACAATGAGCCAGTGGAGGAGGGAGGGGGGAATTTCCTCTGGTAACCTCACCAAATTGACTGTTCTTCACGTATGAACTCAAGACACGTTATTCAACTCTGATGTGCAAAGTAGCTAAGTCCGATTTTGTACTCATCTGAGGCCCCAAAGAATTCTACTTAGTTTTAACCCTGTATTTTAAATTTGTCTTGAAATTTTAAAATCACGTAAAAATTGTGGCAATCCCGAAGACTAATTGTGGCCTCACAATTACCTGTTGTTACCCCAGCACAGACCGGGCTTAAAAGTAAAGTGAGTGTCCTTAATTTGGCAGAAACCAAGTGGAGCATTACTGAAGAAACTAAAACAAAACGAGTTTTATTCTCAGCACCAGGAGCTGTGGAAAGAATAAAAAGGACAAGTTGGTTATTTGATATTTTATACAGTTTATTTATCGTCGCAAGTCCTGTATTCGACGCTAGGGCTCTGGCGGTAATACAAACTGGCCATTCAAAGGGATTAAGTAAAGCAACTTCCTATGAGACTTGCTGGACACAGTGCTATATCTTAGGAAGTAGACATGCAGAAAACTACTGTCTTTGATAGCTCTACCTAGCATTGCCTGAGCAGTAACAGCCTCACTCAAGAAAAAAAGGCAAGCAATCCTCTGTAATGGGTTCTTTTTTCTGCTAATGTTCAAACTGATTTCCAAGCGAGGCTGAATTTCACAGTACTGGCAGTGTGGTGCAGCTAACATTAATACCAGCACTGATTCCGTGGCCAATTCCTTTAGTGATTTGACGAGCATTCACAGAATAATTTAAGCCATATGAAAGCTGGCTGCTGGGTTGGTATCAGTAATCTGCTTTTGTGGCTTTACCCACTGCCTTAAATACAGAACGGCCACAATTAATAAAAAAAAGTTTAATTAAATGCTAAGTGTGCCTTTGCATAAGTCTATTTCAAAGGATTTTTCCAGCAAAGTATACTTAATTCATATTTTATGCACAGATTCTACTGTTAAAAGTTATTAACTTCCTATAAATAACTGTTATTTCCCCCTCCCATCGGATTATCCTTCTTTAAAAGTTCAGCTAAAATATAATTTGATTAAAAACTCTTCAAAAAAAGGAAAACATAAACAGCTTGAAAATCACAAGCTGTGCAATGTGATAAATAGTAAAGCTAAATGTTGGCAATGTCTATGCAATCTAGGATGAGCCAAGTACATGGGCCTGTCAAAATTGTGCTTGAACTTCCAAACACGTTTGAAATAAACCAGCATACAGTACAGTACGTGTGTGGTTGAAGTCTGATACTAACACGGTATTAATTCAACCACTAAGAGACTGTCTGCTCCTGGAGCTACTCTAGATTATAATTGTTCATATGGGTTAAAAGTAGCCATTGGCTATTAGACGTCTATCTGGAACCTTAGACTTCAGATGGAGGTTTCTCTTCCCCAAATAAATTCTTGCTAACCTCAACAATTCGAGGCTTGAAATTCACAGCCTGTAAGCCGTAAAATTAAAGTTGCATGATACTGTGGAAAATTCTGAAATTCAGTTATAATTGTGACGCCGGCTCTTTTAAAAGAACTGCGTAAACCTGCCTTCCCGCTTAAGAATTTCATGCAATTGTATCCGAGATCTTAAGCGTTAAGGCAAAACCGTTTTATTTGACTTGGGCTAGTGGAATTTGGGCCTCTGTGGTTCCTGGCATTAACAGGTTTAGCCAGACACAAACAGTCATATAATGTTACAGGAAGCCCTTTAAGAACCCGTACAATTGTCAGGAACATAGTGGAGTAAGTGACCTGCATGACTTCTCAGCACAGGGCCATTCATAATGAGTCGATGATCCCCTTTCCAAACCAGATGCCAAGAGTTTTTGTAAGAGTTAGGAATTCTGATTTGCTAATTTGCTAGCAGGACGTACAACCATTCAGCACTTTGAGACAGAACATCTGCAAAGGGCATTCCTGTCACCCCCACCCCATTCCAGACCCTTCGAGACACGTTTTGTTGAGAGAGAGAAAACAAAATGCAGAAAACATGCAACTACTACAAACGCTCAGACCGATACATTCTACCTTTGTTTTCAGTTTTATTTACATCCTGAGAGTGTCTTTACAAAATGTAAGTGCCCTTTTTCGGAAATAGACCTTATAAAAAGCGTTTGGATGTTTATAAACTGTACACAAAACTCTCCTTTGCAGAAGCAACACAAAAAGGATACATCACCCAAATAATACACAGAATTATTGTCGCATACTATATGCAAACATTTACAAAACCATTTTGGGGTACTTACAAACTATATTACAGGGTGAAGTCAAAGTTCCTGTTATGTACATAGTTGACACATCTTTGTAATATCCAGATTGAACGACGTATTTAAAAAAANTTACCAGCTACAACTTTCTAACGATTGCTCAGCATAAACATCTGACTTGAATACATTAACGTCCTCAATTTCCGAAATAACAGTGTGCAAATGGAATACAATAAATGCAACAAAGGAGGTTTTTTTGATTAAAAAAAATCAAGCATCCAGCTTATAAAAAACACGGCATAATTTACAAGAACATTGAGAAGATCAACTGGCTCAGTGTATCTCAGTCAATATGAGAAGGCAACAATCTGGCACATAAGGTATTGAACAATATTTAGAAATTAGCACCAAAGATAGGCAATTTTGTGGCGTTGTTCCCGTTTCTAAGTACAGATAGTCAATGAGGCTGCACTTAACGGCGAGAGGAATCTTACCCTCCCTCTCCCTTCCTGAAGATTCTTACAGAGTCACCGCGGGGTACATCAGCTGATCACCGTGTATTGCTCCGTGTGAATAAGGAATAGGAGGTGGTTGTCCGTAGCCTGGTCTGTCCACGAATGGAGGAGCCATGACTAGCGTGTGGTCAGCTGGAATTCCGTAGCTCAGATAATGGGGCGGGAGGAAGGGGTTGGCCGTGCTTTGAGGAGGCAGAAACTGTTGGGCTTGATGACAACCCATGACCGGGAAATTCGCCGGCACGTTCATGTAGAGGTTGATGCTGTCTGTGCCTACGGAGCACATGTTGTTCTGACGTCCCACAGAGCTCCTGGTGGAGGTGGTGGTGGTGCTGGACGTGGAGTGTCGCGAGGGGCTTCTGACGCTGGGCGGAGGGACCAGCTCCAACAGGCGACTCTGGGAGGGAACGCTCTGTTGGTTCTCCTCTTCTTTCGGCTTCAGGCATCGGCAGCAGCAAACCGCAATGAACGACCCGACGATGATGAACGCCACGAATATGGAGCCCACAATCAGGAACGGCAGGTACATGGGCACTGCAAAGAGGACGCAAAGAAGAAAAATGTTTTAAAAACTGTTCTGGAGAGATCGTAGACGTCTTATTACACACCAATTCATATTTTAATCATTCGATAAAATGCAAAACGTCAATGCACTTTACAGTGCATTCTGTGAAGCGCTTTGAGACGTCTCAAAGACGCGATAAGGCGCTATATCAAGTGCAAGGATTATTATTATTTTTATTATTCTTATTAAAGCCAACAGCTGCAACCAGATGTGTCTGGGAAGGAAGGTGGTGATGCCCTTGGGTATTCAGACCTCATTGACATTACATGAAGTGCTTACATTATGCACTGACTAATAGCAGATTTCTGTATCAAGACAAAATTATAGTTCATAAATACTGATCGGCACAAGTTTCCTAGTGTTGTTGAAGCTTTACTAAATCAATTCATTTTAAGAGAGATAACTCCACAGCTCATTTAATCTTCAAAGATAAGTGTTTTTTTTTGCCTGCAAAATGCACAGGGCCTACAGTAAATCATGTGAAGCACATTGAGACATTTTGTTAACATGATAAAGCACCATATCAAACGCAAAGATTATTATCTTTACAAACAGCACACAAACGAGGCGAGTATTTGGACTCAGTTATTCCAAAGCAATCCTATCGTTTTGAAAACGTACGTGCTGAAGTTGTGAGCATGAACCACTACTAAACTCATGTGCGTGTGAAATTGTTCTGGATATACAGTCCCTAAAGTGTCAAACATTAGTTGCGTGAAGAGCGCACCATACAAATTAAAGTTATTGTAGGATATCTGAAAGGATGAAGAACTTGAATTTTACTCTGCAAAGCAACGAAGACCGGATTACCAACGAGTAACCAGTTATGCAGTGTCCTCATTGACACAAGGTACGTATCCAACAGCGCTGAGAGTATTCGGTTTATATCACTCATTTGTTGTTATGTTTGAAGTTAATATTATAGTTGAATTTATATTCGTATAGATTATCGCAATAGAATATATGCTCTTATACACTACATACTATGGTGCGTGCACTAACACTGTGTTCGTGTGCAATGGCTTCCCTTTTATCTATGTTTAGATGAGTCTGACTCCCCTGTTGGAAAATTTCGGATTAATGCCTTGGTTGTTCCCTACATTGTGGAACATGGTGACCATGAACGTGACTCTATTCCGTTACCTGATGCGCAGTGTAACCATTTCAAACTGTTCCTAATCCGCGGCTTTTGTTGGGTTCATTCGGGTCTTTGTCTTGAAACCAATTTACACTGTAACCGGAGGGACTTTTAAATCCTGGATTATAACACATCGCACAACAATGTAACGGTGCCCTGATCAGCACTGCAACGTTGCCAAGAGCATTATGCTAAATGCATCTCTAAAAAATAGCATCTATAACCACCCAAAGTATACGATCTCCATCTGGTGAAACCATTGGCAGAGTTGAAACAATTCTGGCTTCCGTGCACCGCGGCATTGGACGAAAAAAAAAACTGGGAGAGGCGCACAGTACCAGAGTCTCCTTTCAGTTGCTTGACACGTGGTGGGAAATGTTTGGTTCAGTGATTCAGTAATCGACTTGATATTTGCTAAAAGACAGATTGCGGCGATGGTCTGGTGGGGAGGGGAGTACATTACTGTGTAACGTAGCATGACACCGGGGAGATCTGCAAAGGTCTCTCTCTTCCTCGTCTCTTCCTGAGTTGGCATTTGGGGGTTATCGTCCTCAGTGCCCTGGGCTAAGGAAGGAAATTAGCCAGTGCTCAGTGACCCCTGCTAGAAAGTGTGTGCGGGGGGGGGGGGGGGGGGGGAGGGGGAAGTTGGGGGGAGTCGTGTGAAAACAGCGATTGCCCTGCAGGACTGCTGACACTCATTGTTTGTGTTCATCCGTGAATAAATGGCCATTAGGGCAAAGTGCTGTGCAAAATGCCCTCGCAAGAGTCCCTGCCTTCAGGACAGGAAGAGGGGCTGAAAGCTCTGAAAGACAGTGTAAACGGAGAGCTCCCCATTCAATGCACTCGTCTGCAGATTCAGGGCGTAACGCAAACCGGTACCTGAACAATACTCTTGAAATCTAGGATGCGCTACTGGGCCATTAAGGCAGCCGTAGAGCTAAATGTTACAACCAGCTGTACGTGCGCTTGCGACCCCACAAATCTGGGCCCCCTCAACAGTCAACTTTTTCTTCCACCTTAAACTCCACTTGGCAGCTAAGCAGTTTGTTTTGGGGCTTGGAGAGCAGCCCTGGTCAGCAAGCTTTTCAATGGTAGTTATTCATGTCAGAAGGACCTACGTGTATACAAGCGCATTCCGTTTACTGGGTATTTGGGCAAATCTGTTTTCAGAATGCTTAGCATTTCGGGCCTTTTAAGAGGGGTGCATTCAGCATTATTTATATACCTACAAATATCGCATTCGGCAGCTGCAAACACACAGTCGCTACACTTTACAGTGAATCCCGTGAAGTGCTCAGAGATGTTTCGTCGGTGTGTTAAGGCACTCGATCAAATACAAAAAAATTATTGTCAGTATAGTTTACAGTTGTATGAGGTAAATGTCCAGCACCGCGGGAATCTATATTGGTTAGAGCGCTCACCTCACAAGCGAGAGGACCCAGGCTCGATACCCGGTCAGGGTGAAACCCTTACGCAAGTTTCCTAATTCCACACGCTACTGTTTACCTAGCAGTAAGTAGGAACCCCTACTTAATAAGGGTAATACTCCCTTCAAAAAAATAATAATAATTTGGTCACTTCAATCCACGACTCCTAGTGGGACGCTGCTGTGCACTATTGGCTGCTGCGTTTCACCCACAAAATATACAGTCAATTCACTTTACAGTGTATTCTGTCAAGCACTTTGAGATGTCTGGGCAATGCGATACGGCGCTATATCAAATGCAAGGATTATTATTATTATAACACTTCTTGGTGAGTGGGGGGGGGAGGGGTTTCAAATGGATTTGAAATGAAATCCATTTCAAAAGATGATTCATATGGGGGAGGGAAGGAGGAGGGGAGGGAGGTGGCAAAGAGCTGAATGAGTGACTTAGCTGTGCTTAGTGAGCACGCAGTCTAATCTGATGCTGCAACGCAGCGCTGGGGTTGTGTTTCACCATCGGAGGTGCCGTCCTTCGAATGAGACGTTAAACCCGTCTACCTGTTAAAGCTCCCACGGAAGAGAGGAAGGAGTCTCTCTCTCTCTCCAGGTGTCCTGGCCAACAATCCCCCCCCCCCCCCGGATAAAATCAGTCACTCACTCCACGGCTGCTTGCGGGACGTTGCTGTCTGTCCAGCGCCTTGGGACGTCCTCCCGACGTGAGAGGCGCTCGCTATACAAATGTAATTTTGCTTTGGTTGTTGTAGTTGTTGCTGTGCGGCAAACTGGCTGCTGCCTTTGGCTCACGAAATACACAATCAATCCGCTTTACAGTTAAACCTGTCAAAGCGCTTCGAGGAGTCCTTCTGACATGATAAAAGGCGCTGGACCAAATGCAAGAATTATTATAACAATTAATAATAAAAATAGTTATTATTATTGTAAGTGAGTAAACTTCTTACCAGATGCAGTCCTGGTGTGAGAGTCTGCCTCCTGTTGCATGTAGTTATCGTTGCTGCAGACGCCCTGGTCCAGTCGGTTGTCCAAGACAGAGCAGCAATACCTGAGCTCACAAGAGCCGCAGCAAAGGGTGGCCTCGGCTCCATCGTACCTCTCAGGACACTGGAAGCCCGGGTGCCAGTCTCCTTGACCATCGGACCAGCCGTGACAGTACTCCCCGGAGCCGGCTACCAGAGCCAGCAGATAGCCGGAGTACAGAGCAAAGAGGGCGCAGAAATGGATGGACCCCATCATCAGGTCCTGCAGGGTATGTCTCTCTTGTCTATCTGTCTGACCACCAATCTAGGTCCCACTGCGGGCTGGTCACACACACAAAGTCATCAATAAGATTCCCCCCACACCCACCCACCCCAATCCGGCTCTCCAGCTCCACTTGAAGTTTCTTTTGGAAGTTGTCCTCAGTGTTGTTTGTCCTTCCCTTTCAACAGGTCTGATTGCCAGGCAACAAGATCTCTCAATCCCTCTTTCTCTCTGAATCTTCTCTCAATCTCTCTCTCTCTCAATCTCTTTCTTTCTCTTTGTTTCAATCTTCTCACAATCTTTCTCTGTCTCAATCTTCTCTCTCTCTCTCTGTCTTCTCTCAATTTCTTTCACTCTCTCTGAATCTTCTCTCAATCTCTCTCTCTCTCTCTCTGCTACACAATGCTGGGAGGAAGACCTGAGAGGCTGTCTGTGTGTGTGTGTGTGTTAATGGCTAAGTTGTTAATGGCTCTATTCATGGAGGTGTGTAATTGTCATGCTTTTAGGCTGATTAGAAGTTCTTCAAACCAAAGTTGGGGGAGTGGTAGAGAGAGAGAGAGAGAGAGAGACAGAGAGAGATCCATTCATTAGAAATTAATTACTCTTCCTCCCAGAGAAAAAAGTTGCAAATGGGAATTAAAAAAAAGTTGGCTGTTTTTTTTCTTCTTTTTGCAAAAAAAAACTAAAGAATCGCCCACATTTCCACACAGGAAAAAAATCACAGATTCTTTTCAGCCCAGATTCTGTTGCGAAAAACTCACAAATCGAGTAAAAAAACAATTTTTGCAAATGTTTCTGGAGTCCCAGAGAGGGAGGGAGAGAGAGAGAGAGAGAGTTGGCTACCCTGACCAATCCTCAACCCAAATAACAAGCGAATCATGCCTTTCAGGGGGATTGTAACTCCGCCTTGTCAACTCACTAACATTGGGTCTGCATTTTCATTCCTTTTCCCTCTGTTAATTGAAACCAAAGACCAGCCCTCGACTTGTTTCCCCAAGATTTAAAAGCTGTTCTTTATATAAAAATATTAACAACTTGCATTTATATAGTGCCCTTCACGCCGAACGTTCAGTAATAATAGCCGGAGGGCTTAGTAATAATAATCATCATCATTATGATGATTTTCTACCATCTGATCCTTTTAATGGTACATAGATTCCAATTCTATATTTGTGATTCTGTGTTTGTAAGTTAAACCCACAACAACATCAATCAAATGCATCAGGTGGCAGAAAACTGTTCGGGTGACTTATCTTAAGGCAGATTATTATCAAAAAGGATAAAGTCAAGTCAAAAAAAAGGATGTTCGTTGCCAACATGGAGCTGCTTTGAATTGCTTTCTTTGAGTATGAGAGAGATCACGAGGGTCACTGGAACCTTTAGGTTAAAGAGTGTTATTAACCAGTGCCATGATAGCTGTTGGGATCAGTTAAAGCCTTGCTTTTAAGGAGGAGAATATGTGTGGTTTATTCTTGTTGCCTATCCTATAATAGGAGCTTTCTCAACCCAGGAGTACTTGTTCTGATGAAGGATTCGATCCAGATTGCCAGCCTATCTGTCTGGTTCAAGTGCCGATTCACCAGCTGCGTATTTTCAACTAATTTCTGGGAGAGATTAGGGTTTTGCTCCCACAGAGAATGTGTGGAAAGACTCCCAGCAAAACAGTATACGGTGTGACCCTTAGCTCCTTCAAAAAGGACTTTATTTAAAACTCCTGCTCGGGGAAGGGAACTGGAGATCAGAAGAATAGGTGCAAACACTTCACAGGACAATGTGTTGCCCTGATTCTGTGTTGCTGCACCAGATGAAGGGACAAGTTGTCCGTGGTGGGAAACAGACTACAGTTAAACAACGGAGATGTTGGAATGAATACACTGTAGTTTTTACTTGATTACCTTCGGGAATTGGGGCGTGTTATTGCCCCCAGGAGATTGGGTGGGTGGAACCCATGTTATAGTCGCCTTTGACGTGGTCTGTGTGAAGGGGTGAGCTTGATGGGCTGATGGTGGGAGGGTATTTTTTTCATGGTTTCTTACGTTCGTCCACAAAATGAACAGTCAATTCACTTCACAGTACCTTCTGCAAAGCGTTTGAAGACGCGATAAGGCGGTATATCAAGGGCAAGGATTATTATTATTATTATTCATTTAAGCCAAATTTATTTCATTCTCATAATTTTTTTTCTCCGCAGTGATAGGACCATAGCACGCTTCCTAACTTACAAATAATTATTGCACTAGACCAAAACTAGTACTGTGTGTGTGTCTTTCTGTTTGAGGCAGCGCGGGCTGAAACCGCGGTTGACCGTTCTATGCTTTGAGGAATTAATGGAAGCAATCCCTTAGAAACAACACAGATATTTAAAACGTGGCAACACGTTTATTGTTAATGAGCAATGACTGTTAGCATCTCCATGGGCTCCAACAATGTCAGAAAGGGATTCTGAGATACAATTCAATGCGAGAATCCTGCTGACTTCCTTTCCTTTGTGTTGGTTGGGCACCTGGTTGCATAAATCTGCTGAAACAGAGGGAAACTTGAGAATGATTATCCACAAAGACTGGGATTTGAGCACAGGTCTTGCTGGCCAGAGCACAGCGCACTAACACGTGATGAAAATGGGCCACCTTGACAGCTTGTTTGGATAAGGTTTTCTTCAGGGTGTATAGTAGTTCTGAACGTTAGCTCAAGACTTTTGTCTAATTGGAAACATCTGAACTAACTTTGAAATCCTTAACCAGTAATAATTTAATATGGGGTCACAGCGTTTACTGTGGAAAAGGTTGTGGCAGCCATAAAAGATATGTTTTTAATATGGTTTGTCGCAACAGTTTTGCTGGTCCTGAAGGAACTAGGGAATTATTAATTCCAACCAAGCTTTTAGCAAATGCCATACTTTGTTGAAAAGAATGGAGACCTGGGGAATCATTCAGGAAAAACTACAAAGATACAATAATGCCAAGGACCGAAAGGGCAATATTATATTGCATTTCCTACGATTAAACACACTTAATGATGCTTCGCGGAAACAATACGTAGAAGGTTGTATTCATTGCACAACGGATTTAACAACAGGATACAGCCAGATGCAGAACCCATGGCTCCACCTAGTGCTGGAACAGATACGGACTTTGTGATAAGAACCGAGATCACATTCTCAACACAGTTTAACTTTCTACAGGAAATCTGCATTTGACATACATAGGGGAAAAGTTTTTGCCTGAATTATTGCAAATTTACAGAGTGCAAGCACAAAGGTTTATCACATACAATTGCTGACAATTTTCTCCCTCTGCTCAGCGGGCACTGGCCTGTTCCATGTCTCTCGCCCTCCCCACCCTCGGTGCTCGGGCCTTCAGCCTCTTGTTTGTCCCTTGTCCCCTCGCTCCACCACCGGTGGCCTACCTTCAGCCACTACACCCCGAAACTCAGGAACACTCTCCCTCTGTCTCGCCCCCTCCCACCCCCCCCCACATTTTCATATCCTGCCTGAAGCCCTTCCTTTTTGATCGTGCTTACGGTCACCTCCCCCTTCCCACTCCCCCTGGCTCGGGGTCAGACTCTTCCGGGACGCTACCCCACATGAAAGGGTGTGCTCTATAAATGCAATTTAGTTTGTTGTTGAGACGTCCTCCTGACCTGAAAGGCGCGAGCTATGCAGTATATTTCTACCACAAAATATACAGTCACTACGCTTTGCACTACACTTACACTTTACCACACTTCCGTGAAGCCCTTTCAGACGTCTCAAAAAAGGTGGTAAGAAGCCGCGTCGAATGGAAGGATCAGTATTACGGTTATTGTAATAAACCACTCCACGCAGAGCCTAATAATAATCCCTCCAAAACTAAAAACAATAATAAATTGGTCATTTTCAATCCACGACTGTTTGTGGGGCATTGCTGTGCGCAATTGGCCGCCGCGTTCGCCCACAAATATACAGTCGATTCACTTTACAGTGTGTTCTGTGAAGCGCTTTGGGACGTCCTCCAGACGTGAAAAGCGCTATATCAAATGCGAGGATTATTATTATTATTATTATTATTAAACCCAACGTGTTGAGGTTGCCTTTGTTGCTGGCGCTGGAGTGGAGTCCGGCAGCTCGGCGGTTAAGAGCGCTCGCCTCACAAGCGAGAGGACCGGAGTTCGATTCCCGAGCGGTTCGGTGGTGAAGCGGACGGCTTGGCTTTATTATCCACCGGAGGGGGGGGTGGGGGGGGGGTGATAACTAACCCCTTAAAAAAATAATAATAAATTGGTCGCGTCGACATTCTGTGAAGCGGGCGCTTTGAGACGTGACGGGGCGCTGTGTCAGATCGCAGGGATTATTATTGTGGTGGTGGCTGTTGTTGCTGCTGTCGTCGCTGTGGTTGTTGTTGTTGTTGTTGTCGTCGCTGTGGTTGTTGCTGTTGTTGCTGTTGTCGTCGCTGTGGTTGTTGTTGTTGTCGTCGCTGTGGTTGTTGCTGCTGTCGTCGCTGTGGTTGTTGTTGTTGTTGTTGTCGTCGCTGTGGTTGTTGCTGTTGTTGCTGCTGTCGTCGCTGTGGTTGTTGTTGTTGTTGCCGTCGCTGTGGTTGTTGCTGTTGTTGCTGCTGTCGTCGCTGTGGTTGTTGTTGTTGTTGTCGTCGCTGTGGTTGTTGCTGTTGTTGCTGCTGTCGTCGCTGTGGTTGTTGTTGTTGTTGCCGTCGCTGTGGTTGTTGCTGTTGTTGCTGCTGTCGTCGCTGTGGTTGTTGTTGTTGTTGTCGTCGCTGTGGTTGTTGCTGTTGTTGCTGCTGTCGTCGCTGTGGTTGTTGTTGTTGTTGTCGTCGCTGTGGTTGTTGTTGTTGTTGTCGTCGCTGTGGTTGTTGTTGTTGCTGCTGTCGTCGCTGTGGTTGTTGCTGTTGTTGCTGCTGTCGTCGCTGTGGTTGTTGTTGTTGTTGTCGCCGCTGTCGCCCACACACGTGGCCAATGTGGCTCAAGGCAGACCAGCGCGCATGCGCTGACCCGGGAGGCGGTGGTGGGGGGGAGGGGCGAGAGAGAGAGAGAGAGAGAGCGCCAGTGGGGGGGGGGGTGGGTTGAAGGTCTCGCGAGATGTGCCAGCGGGACGGGACCAGACGCGGCGTGGGAGGGGGGGGGCGGGGCCGGGGTCACGTGACGCGGACAGTTATGGCGGGCGGCGGCGGCGGCGCGAGACCGCTTTAAAATAGTTTCCGTGGCAGCGCTTATAACCGTCTCTCCCCCCTCCCCCCCCCCCCCCTCCGCACCGCACGTCACGTCACCTCACCCCGTGTTTTATTCAGACACCGACTTGAGAGGCGGCTTCGTGAGCGGAGGAGGAGGGGGGCGGGGGGGAGAGGGGCATATAATGGAGCACATCATAACACCCAAGGTACGGAGGGGGGGGGAGAGGGTGAGGAGAAAGGTAGAGGAAGGGGAGGGAGAGCGGACGCGGGGGTTGGGGTAAGCGAGGATGTGGGCGGGAGGGTGTGTGTATTATATATATATATATACAGAGAGGGAGAGAGAGAGGGGGGGGTTATTTGTGGGGGGTTTGCGGCGGTTTGCGGGGGGGTTGACGGGGGTGGGGGATGTTTGCGGGGGTGGGGGTTGTTGGCGGGGGTGGGGGATGTTTGCGGGGGTTTGCGGGGGGTGTTGACGGGGGGTGGGGGGATGTTTGCGGGGGTGGGGGGGTTTGCGGTGGGGGTTGCGGGGGTGTTGGCGGGGGTGGGGGGGTTTGCAGGCGGGGGTGGGGGTTGTTTGCGGTGGGGGTTGCGGGGGGTGTTGGCGGGGGTGGGGGGTTTGCGGGGGGGGTGGGGGATGTTTGCGGGGGGGGGTTTGCGGGGGTGGGGGGGTTTGCGGGGGTTGCGGGGGGTGTTTGCGGGGAGAGAGGCTTCTCTCGCAACGCCAATCCCTCAGGAGCAGGGGATGAAATTTGAATTCAGCCACAAGCCCCGGGAGTGGCCTCGCCGCCGCCTCCCGCTCTGCCCTTTTTTTTTATTGCTCTTTGTTCTTTTCTCACTCGTTCAGTTTCGGGGCATTCATTTCTGTCTGTGTCTGTGTGTGTCTGTGTGTGTCTGTGTGTGTGTGTGTGTGTGTGCGCGAGAAAGGGTTCAGTGCCGTACAGTTACCGTCAATATTTGTGCCGAGCACCGATGTGTGTGTAGCGCCGACAAAATAAAAACAGAACAAAAAACGGTGTTCTCACTTTCTCGCGCACCACCCGATTGATTATTATTATTATTATTATTATTGACTGTCCTGCGATTCATTATCGATAACTTGTCAACGTGATCAACGTTGAAATGAATCGAAGCCCCTTCGCAGTTTCTATTACAGTGTCGGGATTGGAGACCTGTGGCTCAGTGGTTAGAGCACTCGCTTTGCGAGTGAGAGACCTGAGTTCAATTCCAGGCAGAGGGCGAAACCTTGGGCAAGTTTCCTTACTCCACACAGAGCCTAATAATAATCCCTCCCAAACCAAAAACAGTAATAAATTGGTCATTTTCGATCCACGATTGTTTGTGGGACATCGCTGTGCGCAATTGGCTGCCGCGTTCGCCCACAAATATACAGTAACTTCACTTGACGGTGTGTTCTGTGAAGCGCTTTGGGACGTCCTCCCGACGTGAAAAGCGCTACATACCGAGTGCAAGGATTATTATTACAGATCGCTTTCAGAAGGATGACATTTCAACGAAAGACCTGTTGTTATTGAGTGTCAGAAATCCTCGCTGCCTTTCGGCCCTATCGTTCGCCAATTCATTTCCTTCTCCTTTTGTACACTGGTTCTTTGCCGGCAATGTTTGAAACTGGTTCTGAAAAGGCACAAGTGGTTGGAATTTACAGAGTGGGGGGTGGGGGGGTGTTTGGATTTTGCAGTCCAAATTGCTGCTGGTTTTAAAATGCTTCTTTGCTGGGTTTAGTAAAGAGCAGGAGGGTTTCAGCCAATTTTGAGTTTTGATTGGTTGAGAAAACCAGCATCTGATTTAGATGAAATTTCTGCACAACATCCAGTTCTCTATCCGTGTTACTTTTTATTCATACAAAACGACTGTAATCCTTGCATTTGATGCGCCTTTCGCATTGGCGGGACGTCTCAAAAGTGATTAACAAGTTATGCTGGAAAGTGTATTGACTGTATTGCGTAGGTCAATTAGCGCACAGCAGTGTCCCACAAACAGCTTTGAAATGAATGACCAATTTTACTTGGGGGATTTTTGGCCACGATACCGAGAGAAACTCCCTTCTCTTTTCCGATCGTGCCATGGGATCTTTAGTGTTCACCTAAACGGGTAGATGGCCCTTCCTGACGTGAAAGATGTGACAATTATTATTAAGGGTAGGCATAGTTTTATAGTTTTGAACTGATCTTCCTTATCTTGTCTGAATGACTATTCTTCATGTATTGCCTTTACAATCAATGTCAGGAAGCTTTCCCCGTATATTTATTTTCAAAGCGAATGGTTGGTTGTGATTCTTGTGATGACAGCTGAGGTTAGCTTTATCCTCACTTGTTCTCGACATGTCCCTAAACAGCAGGGGTTCAATGAAATGATGACCGGAAGCTAACATTCCTTACCCTTTCCACCCTCTTATGGCCCCAGAATAAATGAGCCATCTTAATATTGAGCAAACATAACACCTGGGACTCTTTATAGTTCAGTGCCATATTATATAGTCTAATGAATTACTGGGCCACTAGGGGCATCCCTTCTTTACTAATTAATGCATGAAATTATGATCTCAATAATTGTCAATGACGTGGCACAATGTTAACACTTGTCAAATCAAGTTAGTTGGTTCAGGATCCTGTTATTTGTCTCTGTCCTGTATAAGACAAGTTAGCAATAAATGTGGAAAAGAGTAAGTAATCATTCGTGCTTGTACAGGAATATGCTTGAATAGAGATGATGGTTGAATACAGGAAATCACAACCCAGCATAAATCACTATAATTATGTAATTAGATGTGATAAAATGCTTTATATGATAGCATCACAATAAACAGAATGACTTGAAATTTTCTATTGTATTGTAAAATGTTTTGAGCTAGACTTGATTTCTAAAATTGTTTGCATCTGTCTGTGTCACTAAGCATCTATTATAATGGCATATTGGAAATGTATCTTTTTGATATAGCTGACAGGTTTCTAATGATGTGACAGCTTTAGAACAATTTGTTGAATTCTAACTTCTGCGACACTGTCACTTCTATAGGCTGAAAAGTTATCCGTGGCGATTCTGGCCCATGTTGAATATTTAACATTCAGGTCTGAGAAAAATGCACATCAATCTTAATTTGTAGCGGTTTTTAAATAACACCTGTTGCTGTAATTTTTCTTGCCAGGGATGGAATGGATGTTACTGTACAGTAATAACTAACAATAACATTTTGTTGCTTGTAGGTAGAGCAAGTGAAGTTCCGGGACCGGTTTACGAATAAGAAACCAGCAGTGGGAACACTTTACTTAACCGCAACACATTTAATTTATGTAGAATATTCAGCAGAACTTCGGAAAGAGACCTGGGTATGTATGTAGTGCATCCATTACCCTGTGAAAATAAAGACTTAGAGGAAAATAGTTTTAACAGCATGATGCCTATTCTAATATTACTTTTATAATAATACTTAATAGATTTTGCATCATCATATTGCGGCAATAGAAAAGCCAGCCTTGACTGCTGCAGGATGCCCACTGCTGATTCATTGCAAGAACTTCAGAGTTGCCCACTTTGTTATTCCTCGAGAACGTGACTGTCATGATGTTTACAGTTCGTTGCTCAGACTGTCACAACCAGGTACTGTACAGTACATCTGTGTCTGAAAGTTGTAATGTTTAAGTAAGTGCTCCGAGATGCTACTCTGCTTCAAGAGTACTATTTAAATGCAAATTGTTGTACCATACATTTCCCCCTTAGGTCTGTTGTTCAAATATGGCTGTTGGCAGTCACTTCATTTTATTTCGATAAGTAGTCTGTCCAGAATTGTTGTTTTATTTGTAGATTGGGAGACTACTGCAAGATTAGTTTGAAACATGACATTGTTTTCAATTGGGTGATAACAATACAAGATAAAATCTGTAGCTTCACTTACACTGAGACTAGATGTCTCTTATAACATCAAACTCCGTTTAAATCTTAGATTGTGTGTTTAAAGTACATTTTGTTTTACATTCTGCTTCCAAAATGATTCAGTGCTTAAATCATTCAAACATACCTTTCTTACAATACAAATAAACTTGTTATGTGAACGGTGACCTTTCTGTGTCCATTTTGATCACTTCCCATTTCAAATGAATTTGCACAAAGCGTTCTTTTATCATCAGTCTTTGCCTTGGTCAAACTATGCGATCCTTAATTACTTTTCTAGTTTCATAATTCATATTATTGCTCTGGAGCTCATGAAAGTTTCTCAATGAATTGCTTTCTTTGGCCTCAAGGACAAGAATATTCTTACACCATGAAATGGTGTACGGAAATGAGTTAGTCTTTTTAATAACAATAATTCTTTATAAATGCCAGAGAATTGACACTCCTAATGTTTTACATGTGCCATGATTTTCAATTTTATGTCTGGTAGATTCTTTTTGCACTGTGAACAATTTTAGCCACAATTGACGATGTGTAAAACCATAACTTCTTTCAGTGTCGTATAAGGAACTGTATGCTTTCTCGTATAACCCCAAGCAAAATGAAACCAATAGAGGAGGAGGATGGAAAGCCATAGATTTAAAAGAAGAATTTCAACATATGGGAGTGCCCAATGATTACTGGGAACAAACTGATGCAAATGAAGGTTATGAGGTGTGTAATAATTCCTTGTGGGACACTGCTTGCGCAATTGACTCCCACATTTCGACCACAAAATTGCAACAGTGGGTTCTAAATCACTTTAAAAAGCTTTGCATTTTCCTAAAAATGATACTCCTATGAAATCGTGTTTGTGTTTCTTCCAGATCTGCAATACATATCCAACTTTACTGTATGTTCCAAGAGGAGTCAGCAAATCGCTAATAATGGGCAGTTCAAAGTTTCGAAGCAGAGCACGATTTCCTGTGCTTTCATATTTTTTCAAGGAAAACAATGTAAGTATGTCTCCCAGTTAGTCTTGATTTTATATTTCAGTGTTTCAGTGCTGGGTATTGAGATGGCTGACTTAGCTTTAAGAGATAGATTAGGATAAAGCCTTAAACATTTTTTTAAAAAAAATATGAATTAAAGTTGATGTAAAGTGGCCTCTCTATCTGCACCTTGTTTCTGAATCTTAGCTGCTAGGTTAATGTTGTTTTGAGGTTCATGTTTTCTGTTTTCTTTCCCCTTTGGCTACCACCCTCAGCTTGTGTGCTGGCTCGTGTATTAAAGTGCCAATAGATCTGACTGTATTCCTGCGCGCATGCCCAATGAATGCAGAAGAGCTGAACAGTGATTGTGTCCCATAATAGCTGCTGCATTATACCGAGGCTCTCCTGTATTTATCATAATCTTACTCCTGTTCATAGCACAGCCTCTGTTCCGTTGAACTGTTAAAGTATTTATTAATTTTCTATTTAACTTGATTTTTTTTCGAGAGCTTCAAATAGATAATAAAATATTTATTCCAACAGGCTGCCATATGTAGGTGTAGTCAGCCACTGTCAGGGTTCAGTGCCAGATGTGTAGAGGATGAACAGATGCTGCAGGCCATCAGCAAGGCCAATCCAGGAAGTCCTTTCATGTATGTTGTAGACACGAGACCAAAGGTACGTTATTCATTAAGTAACTCAGCAGATGTTGCTCTTTTATGTTTTACCAGTCAAAAAAACCCAACAATAATCTTTGCAATTGATATACCACCTTATCAGGTTTTTTAGGCATCTCAGAGGGGTTCACAGAACATACTGTAAAGTGAATTGGCTATATGTTTTGTGCAAAACTAGTCGAGTCTGAATTCCTGGTCCACTAATTTAACAGCTGATTTTTGTAAAGCTTTTGGCCCCAATTCAAACTTGAACCTTGAAAAGGAACACAGAACCTACTTCTGCTGGACTCTGTGTAACACTTTGGGGTTGTAATGAAGTCTTATTGTATATTTGTGATTTTGGCAGACAAAATCGGAGTCTTGACTTCTCAGCCAAGTTAGGTGACAATTACAAAATAAATTAATATGAAGTAATCCACTTTGTCTCTCATACCTCCCCCAAAAATTCCACCCTACCACAACCAAAAAAAAGTTATGTCTAAAAAAGACACTGAATTATGTGGCAAACAGAGTATCTTCAATGACCCGTTGAACAGTAGGAAAAAAACCTCATGACTTGATTTTTACAATTCACTCATATTAATCATTTTTATCACTGTCACTTGTTCAGTTGGTATTTGGGAGATACCTTGAATTCCTATTGAGCAAACACATAGGTGTCTATGGGAGAATACAGTTGTGTTCCTAAGTACTATAAGATATTCAGAAAAATTATTGTTGGAATATGGGTTGTGTTCACGAAGTTGGTTTCTTTTACAGCTAAATGCCATGGCAAACCGTGCTGCTGGGAAAGGGTATGAAAATGAAGATAATTATTCCAACATTAGATTCCAGTTCATTGGTATTGAAAACATACATGTGATGCGAAACAGCTTACAAAAATTGTTAGAAGGTAATACTAATTTTCTGCTCCAGCACTAATGCTTGCTTGTAACATTGAAGGCTATTACGAGATATGCATAAAAAGATCAATACAGCCAAAAATTACTATTTGAACAAACCATCTAAAACCTATGACATTTTGTTTAAAGTAAATTTTAGGCATACTGATTTCCTATTTTTTCAGTAAAATAAAAGGTAACGTGTTGTCCTTTAAATAATTATATCCTGTTTGATTAAGTGTGATTTACTGGGTCTATAAATGTTTCCTTGTACTGGTGAGGTATCTTAACTTGGATTTGAGGGGAATGTAACATACTTAATTGTAAATCACCCTGCTGTCTGAATATACAGATACTAATTTTCAAAACCGGAAAGCTTCTTGTCTTCTGGTTTGATGAGATTAGTGGTTATTAAAGTTACAATTCTTTCCTAGTAGGAGTACTCCTAAAATTCTTATCCATTCAAGTGTTTTTATATCTTTGCTGCCCACCTGGATCCTTGTGCATATTCACTGAAACATGTATTATTGTATAACCAGAGGGTTGGCTCGCTGACGAGCTGCTCCGAGGTGTCTGCCAATACAAGTTTATTATCGGCATTTACAGCTGCTTGGTGGGCAAGAGAAGGAGGATGAAGATGACATTTTTTGAGCAACCATTTTTCCTTTAGTTTATTGGAAAGCAGCTCACTTCCACTTTCATTCAGCCAGGGTGAGCTTATTGCGTTGATGATCACTGGAGTAGTTTGTTTCATTCTGTTTGTGTCTTGTAGCATTTTATAACCATTTTAAGTTCTAACCCCATTAAATTACGCAATGACAGACAGAAGATAAACAAATTGATAAATGTTATCGTATAATCATTTCCAACCTTAATAATTTTCTATATGGCATACATTCAAAAAAGGTTCCTACAATGGAAGAATTGTAGCTTCCATGTTCATTAAAATGGATTACACATGGTAATAGAGCAGACATTTTTTAAAAAAATAAACAGGGCGGAAACGTTTGACTTAACAATCTGGATACTAAATTGAATTTTAATAGTTTTGTTAAACTAAAATATCAACTTCTATTGTGGGCTTTCAACCATGAGGGTTGTGCAAATAAGTTGTGCAGGAGCCACTAGTTACAACATAAGGAACTGAAATTATAGCTAATTCCTTCCTTTCCCTCAAGTCTCCCCCCCCCCCCCCCCCCCCACCCCCAGCTGAATGTAGCAATCAGCTAAGTCCATACAAGGGTTACTTCCCAGCCCCCTTCCAAGCTACGATAGACTTGTGTAATTTTAATGTTTGTGTTTTATATAAAAAAAACGGAATTTGCAGTAAAGTGTGTTTATTTTCTCTTAGTATGTGAACTGAAAGCCCCATCAATGAGCGATTTCCTCACAGGGCTGGAAAATTCAGGGTGGCTGCGTCACATCAAAGCTGTCATTGATGCTGGTGTCTTTATTGCTAAGGTAATTTATATTTCCTGTTTCAATCATACATGATTTAATCATAGGAGGGCGGAAGAGAAAGAAATGTCACCATAACTGATCTTCCGATAGATTATCATAGTTTGATTTATTTCACTTAGCTCATGAGTTATGGGTCTCCGGATGCATGTGTAATAAACTTAAGGGCTGCACAGTGCTATCACTTGTGCACTGAGCTGACTTTTACAGAACCGTGAAAAGGAGGCCATTAACACTGCTTTTTTTGCTGTGCTTTGGTACTGGCAGGCGGTAGCAGAGGAAAATGCTAGCGTGTTGGTGCATTGTTCTGATGGGTGGGATCGCACAGCACAGGTTTGCTCATTAGCTGGCCTACTCCTGGACTCTTACTACAGGACAATTCATGGATTCATGGTAAGGGGGTGTGTGTATGCTCGGGGATGCTATCCCGCAGGAAGAGCGCAATGCAAATGGTAGTTGTTGTGTGTGTATATATATATGATTTATGAATTTTAATCTACTTGAGTTATTAATCTTATTTAGGTAAACTATTCTCTGATATTCTGCTTCCAAAACAAAGACTGCAATCTCAAGTGAAATTGTTTATGATCTAGTTATTATACAACTGTGAACTGTCATGAGCAAGATGGTCGAATTAATACAAATGAAGACTACCAACCTTAAAATATACTTTACAAAAAAGCATCAGCATGTGTTGAAAGGAATTTTGGATTTGCAAATGGTGTGATATTAAAAAGAGAATGTAGGAAAAGGAATGCTTAGTTCTAATGTGTGTCTGTTCTCTTCAAGGTTCTTATAGAAAAAGACTGGATTTCAATTGGCCACAAATTCTCCCAAAGGTATTACTGTTCTCTTTTGGGTTTCATTTTATGCATGTGTAAAAATGTTTGGTTTTCTCATTTTCAGCAGATTTACAGCATATTGAAAAGGTAGGTGAGTTTCAAAGAATGATTGTTTGGAAGGTTGTGGTTACAGTTTCAGAATTGATTAAAAGAGAGATTGATACTTTGGAACTAGGGGCATTAAAGGATATGGAGATGAGGCAGATGAAAAGATGTGCCGTTATATAATAAAAATATATGGAGATTGTTCTATGTAAAACCATACCTTGGTGTATCAAAACATTGTTCCATCTTTTACTTTCTTTACTCCACAAACTGCTGGATACCTGACTGATTTCGCACAGATAATTAGAATATAATAGTGTATATAAGAAACACAGATTTTATTTAAAGATAGAATTTCTCTGATTAGTTCACTTCTATTCACAGATGCGGACATCTCGAGGGTGACCCTAAGGAAGTTTCCCCAGTGTTTACACAGTTCATTGAAGGTGTCTGGCACTTAATGGAACAGTTTCCCTGTGCTTTTGAATTTAATGAGAAGTATCTACTGGAGATCCATGACCATGTCTTCTCCTGCCAGTTCGGCAACTTTATTGGGAACTGCCGAAAAGAACGTCAAGATATAAAGTGAGTTTAAAATATCCATATTTTACATGAGATGGAGTAGGGTCTTTAAACTAGTAGTTGGATAAATCCTGGCCCATTGCTACACCTATTAGTTTGTCTGTTTTTAAGGCTCCTGATTTCAGTTAACAATTCACTTAATAAAAGTTAGTATTAAACCATTTCCACTGAATTAACACTCCTAAAACTGTCCCAAAGGATGCCCTTGCGTGTATCTCCTCGTATTGTATTAAATTAAAACCTGAAGAATTGGTATTGCTTAACAAATGAATTTAGAATTATTGGATTTTAAAAATGTCACTTTTTCTCGCTGTGCTTTAAATCAATAAGATGTGCTTGTATCATTTAAACAATTTTTTTTTGTGATTGCAGAATTCAAGAAAAGACTCATTCCCTGTGGCCATTCCTTTTAGAGAAGCAACATCTGTATCAGAACCCCCTGTATAAAGCCAGTGTCACGAATGTTGTGTTGAAGCCTAATACTGCTCCCTTTAACTTCAAGTAAGTGTGACCTTTAAGATCATCACTTTTGAGTTTCATTTCTTTGCCTAACGCTATGTGGAAAATACCTTTGCCTTTCCTGTTAATGTGAAATTTGATTCCAATTTAATGCTGTAAAGAGCTTTAATTTAATAGAAGTTCTAAAGTTAGCAAAGGAATTTGTTAGTGTGAGAATAGTTATATTTTGTAACACACACACACGATGGTCTTTCCCCGTCTTATGTTCCTCATTTCTCCTTTATAAAATCTTCAGCCTTACGTCATCAGAAACACACACAAGTTAATACAATTTTCAGTGAAGTTTTCGTTCTTCCTTCTTGTACTATTGTTAGAGATTGAGATTTTGCTGCAATTAAAAACGGAATCTCTTCTCAGGTTCTGGTGTAGTATGTATAACCGTTTTGATAAAGGGATGCATCCAAAACAATCAGTGCTGGATTGTCTTCTGACCTCAATGAAATGCAACGTTGAGCTGAAGGGAAGTGTAGAAGATCTTAACCAGGTAAGAACTTCTGTGTTGAGCAAGGTTACGGAGTGCTCGCACATTTGAAATATTTTTTTTTACAAATCTGGATAAATCAGCTAATATACTGGGTAAATTTATTTGGTAGAAATTGTAGGAACAATTTCCTTTTCAAGCTCTTTTTGTACCACTTTATAGATTATACTTTTTTTTAAAAGTGCCTTAGGTTGATTTTTCTCTTATTACTCCCATTTAGCATATCCTCACTGCATTTGCAGTTGAGAAATGCTTTGCTGGTGACAATAACTCATTATTTTTCAGAATTTTTAAGAATTGTCTCTGTTCAGTTCCACAAGAATGGGTCTAGATTAAGCTCTGATCCTTACATACCGACCAGGACAGTTGCTGCAGTGGTGCCAAAGGTAATTGTAAACTGAATTCTAACACCCAAGTAGATCAGTAATAGTGTTGACAATTTACTAAGATACAAGGTCCTGGCTGTAATGGAAGGTGGCTGCTCCTGGTTTATCTTATGAGGTACTCAGGTGGATATATGACTTCCTCAAATCAATGAGGCTTTTCAGTATTCCAGCTTGGTTCTTGTAATAACCTTAAAAGATAAATTATGTTTAGTGCTTGTTAGGAGAGCTCTTTCCACCTGTGCGGTTGTGCTTATCTTCTCAGTTTCCAGACCCAAATCTCCCACTGGGAGTGATTTCAGATTGCTGTTCTAGTAGAAAAGAGTAATTTGACTGACATTATGCGGGGGTTGTTAATTCACATTGCCATGTTTTTCTGCGTACAGAAACGAATTCAACCGGATGGGTCACAATCTGATATCGCCTGTGTCTTATCTAAGAAACTTACCATTCAAGAAGCATCTTCCCAGCTACCAGTACTTGATACTCTTCAGGAATCTGGCCATGGACAGCAGTCTCTTTTAGCAAATGGCGCAATAGAGGTAACAGAAGATATTGCTGATGGGGACAAAGAAAGGAAATCTGTCACAGATTCTTCATTCTTCAAGATTCAACCTACTAATTGTGACTCTGTGCTTGAGTTAGACACCTGTGCACAAACAGATGGGGAAAACCATCCAACTTCCCAAGATACCGTTGTAGATAATTAATTGAACTGTGTTCTCAAGTAAACTGTAGATATGTTTACATAATATTTACAAAGAAATTTCAACTGTTAGGTTCTGCAATAGTATGTCAGAAAGGGATAATGTCATGAAAGACTAAGAAAGGGAATAGATTCCAGTTCTGCCAGGTATGGCTCATTGAACGACAACCCTTTGTTCATTTGTTAAACATGGGCTGATGCTGTATCTCCTGTGACTAACTTGAATCTTCTTTGTTGCAAATTAACAGGAGGACATTTTTGTATGTTTATACATTTTTCTCTGCCAAGTTGTTATACTACTGTTCAGTTACTAAAACTGTCAGTTTCTAAAGACCAATACAAACGGGAGGCTTTATAGCAATGTTTTAAGAATTCCTATTGAGAAAAGCACAGTTGTTGGTGAGCAATTGCCCTACATGTCGTCTTGTTTAGATATAAGATGGGTAGTTTTAGATGAATTTGTTTTTCGATGAATGAGTATTTGTTCTGTTGTACTTATTTTTATAAGATTTTTTAAAAAATTTGGTCGAATTTCTTTCATGTATAATTCAAGATAACGGATTTCTGATTTGCTAAACAGTATTAGGGATGAGCAAAAGGCTTTTCAATCTCCTGTTCAGTTTTGTCATGGGCAATTCATCACTTTGTTGTTTTTAAAAATCTGCTTCAAAGGTAGTTGCACTATTTTTGCCAAGTAGTCACTGGGTGCTAATTTCTTTCTTGATTGTGAAGAAACTTGACTTTGTGGGATTCAGTAATTCTTTTCTAGTCTTTATTCTTAATCTGCATTCATGAAAACTTTTTTTTAACTTTTCAGAGGCTTTTTTAAAACTATTTGTAGAGTGATCCTTTCACAGTATAACACGCATCCTTTCAGTCAGCGCACCTCTCCCATTGATCTTAGACAATCCCCTTCACTACTTTTGCTCCTAGAATTCCCCTCACTTGTTTTTTCTTCCAGATCTCTTGCTCAGAACCTGCGTTCATATTGTTTTTCTATATTCCTGTCATTCAATCTCATGTTTTTAACCTCTTTCATCTTGCACGGTTTTTGTGAGGGGATTCTGTTGCTCATATCCACATTTGAATTAAAATTGCATCACATCAAATCTTGGCATGCTGTACTGAGAGCAGCCACCTGCACTGTCTTACCAAACAGATCTTTTAATTTAAAGATGATGATTGGTCTTACCTTCCAGAACATTTTCAATTCTGAAAAACATCTTGAATAATTTGATGCCATTCTTCCATTTTTTGGGGAAAATTTTTACTGCGCAGGCGAGAGCTTGTCACCATCTTACAAACCTCCACAGCTTGATCTGCGAACATTCAATAGATGACCAATAATATTAAGTTTTTAAAACCCACAAATGCACCAATATTGATGGTGCATTGATGCGTTTTAAAAACTTAGTCAGTGACATGACCAAATAATATAAAGCCATTAGTATGCCATATCCAATTATATTGCCAACTGAGAAAAATGATTGTTGCAATAAACTTGGAGAAATGTTTTATTAATGCCATAAACTACTGCAAAAAAACAGTATTTTCATGATTCTTAGGATGGAAAAATCGCATTTTTAAAAAATAATTCTCAGATGAATTCTTGGTGAATAACATAGTCCAACAGTGCTGTCTCGTATGTAGCTAGCAAGATTGTGGTTCAATCGGGAATTAAAATAGATAGTACTGAGTAATTATGATTAGTTTGTATCCTTAATGGGTCCACGGTACTCTAGAAATTGTTTATTTCACTTGAACTTCAAAATTCTTGTCTTGCAATTGGTCCCGTGTATTAGTTTTTCTTATCTAGTTGAATAAGCCCAGTGTAACTAACATCTGTGCCCTCATTGCAATACAATGGTAGTGTCTTGAGTTGTAAATCGCTTGCAGGGTGCAGTATTTCAGTACGGCGTAATGAAGTATTGGATAGTACACAGCCCTGTCTCAAAAACATCTAAGATCCTTGACCACCTTGAATCAAATTAAATGGGATCAGCACAAAAAACTTTTGTGCCAAACCTTTTGAATTCTAGCAGCAGCCAAAATTTAGCTTTTGAACAGTTTTTCAGATATTTGAGGTTGCTGTTTTGCTGTATGCTGTTCCTTTTATTTATTTTCAAAAAAATAAAACTAGCCAATAGGAAATGTGAACACAGGAGCATCTAAATAATTGTTGACCTGGGTAGTGGATTGTGATACAATTATTGTAATAATTTCTTGATTCATTTCATATCTTTGTGAGTGAATAGGAATATATTAATTTGAATCCTAGAGTTTGCATGATAGGGAGGAAAATGTATAGCAATGCATTCAGCATAGGCTTCATATTATATGTTCTTACTCAGGAGAGCCTGAATGTTAAAGGAATGTTGTCTTCAGCTATGGAAAATTAGCAAGTATTGTCAGTATTGCAAAGCAGATGAACATTAACATTCATTAACATTTTCTTGAAGATGGCTACAAATCCCTAACTGGTCGAAAGCATAGTATTTCTACAAAAAGATTTATTTTAGTGATTTGAGGTAGCTGACAAATATTTCAAATGAGACAATTTTCTAATGTATATGATTTTAATGGCATGTTACTGTATTTGTAAACCAATTTTCAGCTGAAAAATGAAAGTGGCTTTATTGCTTCAAGTGAAAGGGTTTATACTGAAAACGTTTGAGTTGAAAATATCAAACAGTTTCTAAGTTGTGTACCCCCTTAAAACTTCCATCAGTTGAAGATTTAGTGTTTTTATTTAATAAGGCAGATTTTAAATATAGAGGAATGTTAAACCCACCTAGTTATTTTGTGAGTTTTAGTCATTTAGATTTATATATTAAAGTTTCAATCAACATTCTGTAAGGTTTAATTTCAGTTTACAAACCAAGCATAACAAATCTTCATAAAGGACTGCTTCCCAATAAAATATATCTTTCATGCAAATGTTATGCAAACGGAATAAAAACATACAAAAATGGTTGCAGCTCATTAAAAAAAAATGAAAAACAGTTACTTAGAAAACAACCTTGTGACTTTTAGTACATTGTACAATGAAAAATGGAGTTCCAAATGAATAGTTCCTCCTTTTCCCCCCCTCCAAACAATCCACAAACCGGACCAAATTATTTTTGTGGATGTATATTTATAAACCATGAAGGGAGGAATAATAAAAGGGTTGTGCTGATCCAGTAAATACTTAGCACATCTGAGCCAACTGTCAAAGGTAGATTTTGCTGTAGAGTATTTGTGTATTTCATGTGCCAAATAGTTGTGATATTGAATTGTATGGTGTGTAGAATAATTTTACGTGTTAAATTTTGAGATGCAGGGCTTTGATAATTCCCCTTTGGAACAAAATGACCAAAGAATGAATGTGTAGGGTGAGATGCCATAAAATTTGATTACGGTGCAGAGTAAACGGACTTGATGGATATTGATTGTAGATTTTTTCAGAGGGATTTCTTTCTGAATTATAAAGTTGCTCCTTAGACTAATCCTACAATAGAATTTATCCAGTCTTGCTGGGATGGCGTTTTAAAAAGTTAATTCTAAACAGTAAAGGAATATAGACAGTCAAAAGAGAATATATATAATATTATACATTTATGCATATATCTTTGCTTGATGCTTGTGCACTTAAATAGCAAATGAGCAAAATCTACATCTTAGTTTTAGGATCATGGTATCACAATATAATTAACGGATGTTTAGAAGATATTTATGTCAACCCAAAGATTGATGTTGATCTGCAGAGTGATGATTACGCTAAACACAATAGAAGAATAGTAATCCTGTGTTTTTAGTGCTTTTAAACCCATTTCTCTGCTTCTCATTAGTTTTATATTTGCTGATGTGTCAACTAGTTATATTGTCCAGGTTGTGTAAGAAGCTCAGCTTACTGTTCAAGCATATTATCAAAGCTTTTCCTTTTTTTTCACCTTAATGTTCTAGTAATTTATTTGTTTAAAAAAAAATGGACTGTTGAACTCTTCAAACGGATTACAAAGGGAATAAATACTCTGCAAATTAAATTTTTTGTTATTGCGCAAAGTTCATTCAAAGCGGGCTGAAAGACCATTTTAAACAATTTCCTCCAAATTGGCTTTTCGTGGAAGATTTTCCTCTCGCTTAGCAAGCTGCAAACAGCAGTTTATGTGGAACATTGACGTTGATTACTGCTGCTTGTGATCTGTGACTTGATTTTCTGTTGCAAACGCTTCAGTCTTGCTGCTTAGACGAGTGCAAAATATCTTCCTTGGCCCCGGCGGGGCAGTAATTGTAGTTTCACAGTATTTTATTGGTTCTTGAAATACAAAAAGCAATTTTACATTACTTAGAGGAAACCTAGAAGGAGCCTTTTCTAACCGCTTTGATGGGTTTTTGGGGATGGTGGTTTTCAGAAGAGTGAAGCAACAATTTTCAGAATAGTGGTGCAACGTAAATCATACCAAAGGTTGTGTATACACAAAATATTTATTGGCAAACAATTGAAAAGAGAATCTTATTTATTAAATTGCGTTGGTCCCAACCACAAGTATTATAAATTCCTGATTGTTTGCCCTAGTAGATTCTATTTTATACTGTACTGATGAAAAATCTAAATTTCATTATTAAATCCATTAAATTTTAACTGAGACTGAGGCACAGAGGGCACTTTGATACCTCGTGTAACTTTCACCGTACCAGATCTTTCTCCCAATTTGAAAATCCCAGTACCAGTGATTAATAATAGAAGCTCTAGGCTATCAATAATTTCATTCAAATTATCATATGTACAATTTTTTTATTTTTGGCAATTAACATTTATATTCTTGGAATATGGTTAGGGCTGTAAAGTTTGTGACCGAGTTCCCCCTTTGAGTAACCAAATTTTATTTTTAGGATCTTCGTGTCCAAAAGATTTAGTTCAGCCCTGAAACTGTTTGAGGCACTACAGTACTTTCAGATCCTCAAAGAGGCCAATCTTGGAATTACTGGAGTAGTAGAAATTAGTTTCATAATGTTGCTCTTGATCATTAAATAATGAATCCAAAGTTTGTGTGGGCCTCGTAACCACAGAACATATCTTCACGATGATCTCGCCAGCTGAAGATATTATTGGTGCCCCTGAAGGTCTCAAGAATGAGACATTTGAACCTTTTGATCTCGTTCATACCTTCATAGCTCGCTTCCGTAGTTAAACAAAGATGTCAAAAAATGTAGCTTTTACTTGATGAAATTTGGGTTGGTGTAAAATGTGAGTTCAGAAAGGATGTGCATAATGTTGTCCTGACATTAGTTGTCAGACTTACTGATGTGATAGTTGTAGTGTCTATTGTCTTTCTACAAGTGAATTTCCTTCTCTTCTGCACACCACTGCCAATACATTGAAGTAATGTTAGTTACAACTTTTGGTTTTGTAGAGGACAATTTTGCCTCGACAAATGTGTGCTTCTTCTGATTTTCTGAATCCCGAAGGGAACGCTTAAATGTTTGATACCTGGTCCAGCTTCTGGTATCAGAATTTTGTATATCCTCAACGTTATTACTAAAACATTCCTCCTCCTAACCTGTTTATTCATGCGTCTTGAAAGAGAAACATAGTGCTGTACAATTATTCATTCCTGTTAAAAGATTATTTGTACTGTAGTTGTAGTCATTTTTCAGTGTACTGATGGTAATGTACAGTTGTGGCCATTTGTAAACTTCTGTCTTTGAATTTTATGGAAATATTTTATACTGTGATTAACATTATGTGATTTTCTGCTTCCGAACCCGAATTTGTTAGCAGTTATTTTTTTTCGGTTAAATAAAAATATCTGATCTAACCAGTATACTTTGTACTCAAAACATTTCTTGCCTGCAGACTAGCTTCTTGTTTGACGGTGTTTGTATCTAAACCTCGATACACTTAAACTTCTAAACATATCACCGATAACAGTATTGTTTTGTTCATTGTTTGCAATCTGTTACAACATAAAAAGGGAAAGTGCACAACTATATTAAAACTGTAACCAGCTTCTTGCAAATCTAGTATTCCACATTCCTTCAATTGTCATTCCTCCCAACCGCTCCTGTAAACAAGGCACTACTAATGTAGAATTGGTTTTGATAGGCTATCACACAGTTGCAATTCGTTTGCAATCAGTTAAGGTGGATTAAGTGAATTAATTTAAACTTTTTAAAAAAAATAAACTTTCCTCTAAAATGAGGAAGTTCTCCACCCCTTTTTTTTCATTCTGATGGCCTTTCTTTGCTCGTCTTCAGAAAAATGGCCTTCAACCCAGGAAGTGGTCAACCCTCAACTTGCAAATTGTGGATCCCCCTCCTGTGCTTTAGTGTCAGCAAATGCAAAATGGAGCTGAATAGATTTTTGGCGAAAGGAGTGATTTGAAGTTATGTTTTAAACTTTTACGAGGTCTGACAGGTAGCCTTGGGATGTTGTCCCGACGTGAAAGGCGCTACGCAAATGTAATTTGTTGATTCTGGTTCTGTACGTTTAACTGAAAATCTTTCTTCACCTCTCTTTTCCCCTCCCTTTCCTGCCCCCAACCCCATCCCGACACTCCCAGCCCCTAATTGCAGAGGAATGTGCATCTCTAAATTGGTTGAATGTACAACTTGGCTGAAAACCACACTGAATCTTCAAACCTCCTCGATTTCTACACAGTGGCGATTGGCGAGTACCTGGGATGAAGCTGGTACCTGTCGACCGTGAGCGATATCAGACCTAATGATTCATGAGCGCGACATGGACAGATGATTTGCAGACCAGTTCTGACAAGTGCTGTGCTTCAGTAAAATACACCACTGTTTTAATTTTAGACATGGACACACTCCACCCAGTGGCTGTTGAGTGTGATTTCATTCTGCTTTATCGTCTTGAATGAATCGTGATGTCGAAGGTTTAAGGTACATTTTGCTTATCTCCCAGTTATCCCTGTTGCTGACAAACCCCTGTTACTCATTCAAGTGACAACCTTTTGTGTCAAGCCTGGCGTCAGTATTGAAATAGGCTATTTGACAACGGGGAGAGGGGAGGTGGAGAAAGGGTATTAAACCTGAGCCTGACCTCAATCGATCTCTGCATCTTCCAAGCATGATAGCCAATGAATGATTATTAGGAATGGTAACTCTGCCTAATTGGAAGCAACAGTACACAGATAAGTTTGCCTATCAGTTCAAGTATGCAAAGAGCAGTCCGTATCGGCTGATTTCATCTGACAACATTGACAAGCAACTGATTAGAAAGAGGCACTGGAGCTGCAAACTGTAATTGGATTTGTGTGAGCTTGGACAGACTTCTACTCATCAGTCAACCCTGTGTCCACGTTGAGACTCCATAGCAGCTGACTGGGTTACAAAGGGACAGCTGACAAGGTTCAGGGCAACAAGAGCCATCAGGCAATGTCACACTTGGGCTTTTGGGAATCAATCAACAGGTTTTATTTTGTTCGGTATATTAAATCTGATTCGATGGCTCAAGGATAATCGGAGGAAGCTACGTGCAAATTCTTTCCATGATATTTTACCAATGATTATCGAAATGATGTTTTTTTTTTAAAAAAAAGTTTCTCTATCGTCGTGTGTTGTCAAGAGCTGTAGACCCACAAAATCAATATGGATTGTGCTACTGTGTTGCTGATTGTGTGTTTCTGTATTGGAGAGGAAATTAATGCATCGAAAGCTTTTCAAACAAAGATAAAAGAAAACACAAACTTGTTACCAAATATATAGTCGGCTTGAGATTAAGACTAGTCATCATACGACTATTCCAAACAAAGTAACAAGAGGGTTTGTTTTAAACTGAAGGAATAATCATCACCAATTTCTGGTAGTATTTGTGAATGAGTATTATGTCAGTGTTTGTCAGACCAGTTAAGCATTACTCTATAATTTGTGTTGTGATTTTGTACCTACTATCTTTCTTTTTCACTTACATTCCTCCCATCTTCCCTCCCCCTGCCATTCTTCCCCCAAACAGATGCAGACGCACATTATCAGGACTCTATATTTACCCTCATTGGAAGGGCTGTCCAAGAATGGAAGTGTGTAAGGACATGAAGGCTAAATTTAACCTGCCCCGCAGATCAGAGTACAGACACATTTACTGCGGCATTTGGGTAAGTTAAGTTAGCCTGAAGGAGCTGTTTGAATCCACTTTAGATTTGGGTTAGAGAAGTACATGCAAGTTGATCAGTGGAACCCTCCGGGTACGTGGCCTCATCATCGTTGCTATTTTACGTCAATGGCAGTGTCGGTCACAGTTTTGTGAAATTTAAGAACTAACAAAGGGCAAAGTGATGGCTTTGTCCGCGTGTTATTGGCTTCAAAATACCCTCCCTTGACATGGAGCAGGAGACTATGTGCCCTGTGAAAATGAGCCTGGTAGATGTCAGCAAGATCTTTTCTATGCTCAATCCAGCGGATGAAGACGACGGCGACAGCGCAGATAAACACCAACTCAGCCAAGCAATCTCGAAAGACGACGACAAACTTTTAGCAGAACTTTTGTCCCAGGAGAGGTACGCTAGGTTTATTAACAGTCGGAGTGGCTGGGGTGTTCCAAGCACTCCTCTGCGCTTGGCAGCTTCCGGCGGCCACCTGAAATGCCTGGAAGTCCTCTTAGCTCGTGGCGCTGAGGTGGACAGTTTGGACGTGAAGGCGCAGACCCCTTTGTTCACTGCTGTCAGCAGCAGACATTTGGACTGCGTGCAAGCCTTGCTGAGGGCAGGGGCTAACCCCAATGGAAGCGTCTACAACAATTCCTCTCCTATTTTGACTGCTGTCAGAGAAGGGGATGTGGAGATTCTAAAAGAGTTGCTGGAACATGAGGCAGAAGTCAATGTGCGCTCCAAAGTGCCAGACTGGGCTTCCAACCCCTGTGCTTGCAGTGGGCCACTTTACCTTTCTTTGGTGTACGGACACTTTGATTGCTTTCGGCTGCTTCTCTTGTACGGAGCCAATCCAGATTTCAATTGTACCGACGAGAAACTCCTGACCAGGATTAAATCGCGAAAGACGGCGCTAGAGATGTGCCTCAGATACGGTTGCGGAGCCGAATATGTCCAACTCCTCATAGACTTTGGAGCAAATCTTTCTTTGCCAGACATCAACACAAGTAAAAACATAAATCAAAGCGAAGCATTCAAACTTCTAATCAGAGCGAGAGGTAAGAAAACAATGGCATTGCTATGTTTTTAATATCAAAAGGTATTTATTTTAAAAAAGGAAGTTAGTGAATAGATTGTATGTGCATGGTCAACTGTTTGTAAATGTATTTTTTTCTGTGTGGATAAAGAGTCTGATGTCACCCTTTGCATCTCAATCGAGGGCAAAATCATGTAGTAGATTGGCAACGACGGGCCAAGTGACACAGTTGGTTAGCAGACTGTCCTTTCAACTCTGGCAACTTTAAGCGCTCTGAGACGCTACCCTGAGTGGAGGGCACTATATAAGTGCAAGTTCTTGTTGTTGGTTGAAAGTCTCTGCGCTGGGACTAAGCAAAGCTAGTTTGGGCGATACAGCATCAGCTCAGTTTTATTGGGTCCAGGTCCACAGCAATGAAATGTCAACACAAATCTCAGTCTACGAGTCCTATGCGTGTGGCTCTAAAAAGTCATGCACCTGAGAAACAAGAGCTCCATCTACTTTGTACAATACCTGACTTGGAAGCGCTTCATGCAAATCCTATGTGCCAAAAAGCACTAATCATCATTGGTAATGGTGGGTGTGGGTTGCTTTTGACATCTGTGATTTTTAAAAAAAAATAAAAATAATATAACTGTTACTTGCATAAATATGAAGCATTTACATATTTTTGCTTCCAGCTCAACCGAGAAGCTTGATGTCCCTGACGAGGATGGTTATCAGGAGATACTTGGAACAAGCAAGAGGACTGCATTCTATAGATCAACTGGATATTCCAACAGTGCTAAAACATTATTTGAATTACCAGATCTGAGTTGTCCTGCGGTGTGATTGATTATTGATTGTAAAATAGTGAGAACTTGTACGATAAAGTTAAACCCAAATGTGTATTGTATTTTCTCCTCGTTTAGAAACAGCTGATTGTTACAGGGCATAATTGGCATGTACTTTATTAAGTGTGGACTTCTGCAAATTAAACTTCACATAGCATACCTATTTACATTGGTTGTTGTTCAGGTTTTTCTGTAAAACAAGGCGCACAGTTACCACAAAAGTAAAGCCACAATACATTTCAAGAAGATTATTATAAAGAACGGTACATGATCCAGGTTGGTTTGATAATACATAAAGCACACTGTACTGTTTAATTATTCAATTAAGCTGTCAATTATTTATTGGATTTCATGTATCCTTGGAAAACGAGCTTCACAGAGCAATGTTTTTCACTTCTGCTTTTCATGCTTCCACTCATGCGTCACTAAAGGTTTCCTACTCATGTTAGTAAGCTTGTAAATGTCATCTGCCAGTATCTAATGTCAGGCTATCAGTTACTCCAGGGGCGTCAAGGTAGGTGGGGGTGGATGTTGGAGGGAAGTTTATTTTGCTTTTCAGTGATTGGAAGAAAAAACTAATCATCATTGGAAATGTGTTCTCTGAACTCAAGCTTCTAAAATGTCACGCAAATAACATTTTCAGAAAACAGGAGTGTACAATTTAAAATGCGACATTTTTTCCTCTGATAAGGCAAAGTAAACAGTATTCGCGGGGCAGGAAAGACGACTTGTTACGGGCACGTTTTCCGAAGTAGTAGTAGTAGTAATAATAATAATAATCCTTGCATTTGATATAACACCTTATCCTTAAGGCGATACTCTGGAATTAATGAAAACTTTTATCCACGCAAATGGGGACCCTCTGACTCGCCCCCACCCTCTCCACTTTCAAAACCCACCTCAAGACTTATTGGCTTTGCTTTTGGACGTCTTCCCCCTCCCACCCCATCTTCAGCTGCCTCCCTCTCCTCCTTCCTCAGGCTCAGCTGGCCAGCACATGGACAGTACTCTATATATGTTAATTGTATTATTGTATCATATAATTTGGACTGTAGCACCATACATACCCTCGTGTGAGTCACCACCCTCAGGCAAGGAGAGAGAGAAGGATTTAAAACTGCGTGCGTAATAGCGAAATACATTGAGGGCTGCAATTTAACACATTTTAAATTTATTCCATTTTATTTTTAAAAAGTAGCATCTTGTATCATGTACTGCTCCTTACTTGCATTTGTGTCACAAAAAAAAACATTGGTGACCAGTCTTCAATGTGTATAGTTTGCAGGGCGTCAGATGAAGGAACCATTGAGTTTTTTTTTGTTTGTTGACGTTCTAACATCATGTTTGTCACATTTTAACTACCACCTTACCTTGATGTATAGATACAGTACATGCTGCTAATGGCACGGTGATCAGGACTGACTGTTGTTGTTGTTATAAGAACCTTATGTTGTTCCTATGTGCTCTGAAACACAGATACACTGCAGCAACTGGTGAACGTTAAAGATGAATGTTTGGGTGTTATGCAGATAAATTGACGAGAATCGATCTCCGAGGAAGATTTTTCCCACCAACGTGTGGTTTATTCAAATGTCTGCTGAACTAAACAGATTGGGTTTACATAAGAAATAATGGGAGACAATTAGCAATGTGCCTTTGTTTATATCCTTTGCGTTAATAAAAACTGGTTATTTACAATTCTAGTGTCCGATCAATGCCAGTCAGTGAAGTCTCGCATGAAGGTTCTGTGATAAGTAAGTTTTTTTTTTNGCTAATGCAGCTCACAAAGCAAATACCTTTACTACAGATCACTGTTATGTATTCCATATACTGAATATGGTTAAACCGTGGTCTAAATATTACTGCCCTTGGGTCCGTTGCAAGAATAGTTGGTAGTTTTGTAATATTGATAAAGCCGGTTGAGATATCTCATTTTTTAACATAAAATTTACAAAGTTTTACATCTGCTTAATGCATTTCTGTGCCGTTTAACTTGAATGTGATATCAATAGACTACAGTACGTGAACTGCCAATCTCCAGATCAGCCTGGACCGCATCATCTCTTTTCATTCCTCTCGAGTAACATCTCAGTTTAAATGGCCCGTGTCTTCCAAAAGGAGTCGGGCAAGAATTAACAAGCTTTCGGTTCACAGAGAGTAGACTTGGCCGATCGACTGGCGGATAAATGTCACAATGGACTTGGTTGATCGTCGGAGGGTTTTTGCAGTCTGATTGTATGTGGAGGTAACAGAGGTGGCTTTGGATCGTCCCTTCGTTCCATGCATCATTGTGTTCAAAAATATAACAAGAAATATAACAAGTTTCGCCATCTCCTTCTGCAATCAGCTTAGCCACGGCTTGTTTTGGGAACTGAGTTTGAGCATTATTTCCCTGTTGAGCTTCACATTGATTTCCCAGCAGTTAGTTTTGCATTGCTGCGTTCAGATATTATACTGCACCACTTGATGTCCTCACTGAGCTGTTGACTCTTTTCACGTGTCTGGTGCAGTTGCTTTAAAGTCGCTTTCATATTTTTGGCAAAAAAAAATGTAATCATCACGGAGATCATCTCTGACATTATGCAGATCAGGTATTTTGTATTGTTTGAAGGCTTGTTTAATCAGTGTAAACTTAAACTACAAAAAGTCGGATGACTGTTTAGTATTCATTAAATTCACAAAGAATTCAATGCAGTCAAATTAAACTGTCGCCCAATAACTGATCTGGATGAAGTGTAAAACTACCTGTCACCTTAGTTCACTTGAACGTGTTTGACAGTTGCATTCAGGCTGATGTTGGAGCAATGGGGGACCGGTGAGCTGTTCTGTCTTGAAGTAACTTCCTTTCTTAAAGTAATTGCCACGTCCGAGGACATGATAGAAATGATGAGAGCCCTGAGTTTGCCACCGAGTCCAAAGTAGACGCTATTGCACGAGCCCTCGACACGATGCGGCTCGTCGAACATGGTTTCCAGATGGATGATCGCAGAAACAGCCCTTACATTTGGCGTACAGCACCGTTCACGTCCAGCAGAACCCGCAAAGTGCTTTACAGGCGCTCTGTGAAGTGTAGTGACTGTGTTTTGCTCTCCCCACTCAGCCGCACCCGCACTTAATCTCAGAAATCATTTACACTCTCTTTTTGGAGGACAGGTGATAGGTTAGGGTGCTGCTCTCGGGGTCCCGGGCAACAACCCCTCGCATGAAGTCCGCGCAATCCTGTGGCTCAGTGGCCAGAGAGGAACCCGGGTTCGATTCCCGGCAGGTCAGGGCCAACCCTCGGGGCAGTTTCCTTTACTCCATCCGCGCTCGCGTCCGCGCCTGTTAATAACCCCTCGAGGGGGGAAAAAAAAACCAACCGCAATAATAAAATCGGTAAATAATAATAAAAAATAATGACAAAAAACTGGCTGCCGGGTTTCGCCCGCAACATAAACAGTCACTGCACTTTACGGCCAATTCCGCGAAGCGCTCTGAGACGTCTCGAAGACGTGAACGAGCAGCTCTATCAAATGCCGGGATAATTATTATTATAATTATTATTATTATTATTATCATCATTATAAAAGTGGTCATTTATTCATTTCAGGGCTGGTTTGCTTCGAGTTGCGTCCGCTGATTGGCCGACGGTGCTGTCAGTCAGTGGCGGGGGAGCGCGTTGATTGGCCGACGGTGCTGTCAGTCAGTGGCGGGGGAGCGCGTTGATTGGCCGACGGTGCTGTCAGTCAGTGACGGGAGAGTACGTTGATTGGTCGACGGTGCTGTCAGTCAGCAGCAGAGGAGTGCGTTGATTGGTCGAAGGTGCTGTCAGTCAGTGGCCGGAGAGTGCGTTGATTGGTCGACGGTGCTGTCAGTCAGCGGCAGAGGAGTGCGTTGATTGGCCGATGGTGCTGTCAGTCAGCGGCAGCGGAGCGCGCTGATTGGCTGGTGGGCGGCGGGGCGGGGAGGGCTGTGCGGGATGGCGGGGCCTGGCGCCGCGGCCACTGCTCTGTGCTCCGCCCCGGGGGGTGGGCACTGACTGAGGGGAGAGGGACGGAGAGAGAGAGAGAGAGGCTCAGGCCGAGGCCGAGGCCTGGAGTCCGAGGCCGACAGGTGAGTTGGCGGGAAGGGCCCCGAGTGACGGCCGAGCCCGAGCTGCTTCGGCCTGAGCTCGAGACGCGGTTCGTGTCAGGGCCCAGAGCGGCCCCGCCCCCGGGCAGCCTCCAGCTGCTGAGCCGGTGTCCGGCCACAGCGGCCCCGGACCCCGGACCAGTGCCCTGAGGTACCCATTGCCCTACAGTACCCATTGCCCCTGAGATACCCATTGCCCTACAGTACCCATTGCCCTACAGTACCCATTGCCCTACAGTACCCATTACCCTACAGTACCCATTACCCTACAGTACCCATTGCCCTGAGGTACCCATTGCCCCTGAGATACCCATTGCCCTACAGTACCCATTGCCCTACAGTACCCATTGCCCTACAGTACCCAGTGCCCTACAGTACCCAGTGCCCTGCGGTACCCATTACCCTGAGATACCCATTGCCCTACGGTACCCACTGCCCTACGGTACCCATTGCCCTGAGATACCCATTGCCCCTGAGATACCCATTACCCTGAGGTACCCATTGCCCTACGGTACCCATTGCCCTGCGGTACCCACTGCCCTGAGATACCCATTGCCCTGAGATACCCATTGCCCCTGAGATACCCATTGCCCTACGGTACCCATTGCCCTGCGGTACCCATTGCCCCTGATATACCCATTGCCCTACGGTACCAATTGCCCTGCGGTACCCATTGCCCTGCGGTACCCGTTGCTCTGTCGTGCCTATTGCCCTGCAGTGCCCAGCCCAGCCGGAGACCGATGAACGGAGGGAGCGGGCAGGTTGGTTGGGAGTCAGCAGGTCAGAGAGGTAGGAGGGGGCGAGGCCATGGATGGCCTTAAAGGTGAGGACGAGGATCTTGAACCCGATCCTCTGGGGGATGGGAAGCCAGTGAAGTCGGGCGAGGGTGAGAGTGATGGGGTCGGGCGAGGGTGGGAGTGATGGGGTCGGGCGAGGGTGAGAGTGATGGGGTCGGGCGAGGGTGGGAGTGATGGGGTCGGGCGAGGGTGGGAGTGATGGGGTCGGGCGAGGGTGGGAGTGATGGGGTCGGGCGAGGGTGGGAGTGATGGGGTCGGGCGAGGGTGGGAGTGATGGGGTCGGGCGAGGGTGGGAGTGATGGGGTCGCGGAGCCTGGTCCGCGAGAGTACACGAGCCGCAGAGTTTTGGATGATCTGCAGCGTGTGAGGGGAAGAGTTGGGAAGGCCGGTGAGGAGGGAGTTCCCGCAATCCGGCCTTGAGGTGACGAATGCGCGGGTGAGGCAGCCCGAGGGGCGAGGCGGCGGCGGCGGAGTCGGGCGATGTTGCGGAGCCGATGCAGTCGGTGCAGGTGCAGCGGGCGCGCACGTTGACAGCGGCGGCGGTGCCAGCTCTCGGTCAAGCTGGTGCTCAGCAAGGGCGGTGGGCGCTGGTGCCCAGTCTGACGGTGGCGGCCTTCTCCTGGCGCGTCAGGCAGTGGTGCAACTTTCCTGACCGTGCCGCTGCGCAGCGTCTCAGGAATTCGATTTGATTCTGGTGCACGCCGCCGATGGTAGCCGGCTGACTTTATTCTCGGGTGCCCCAGGGTACCCCCCTGCGTTTAAGTTGTTCTGGATCCTGGGACACTGATCTTCAGGTTGGCAAAAGCGAATGCCAAGGATTATTATCACTTCTATTGATGGCGCCAAAACAGGCGCTACTTTATCTCTGGTTAATCGATGCTTGTTGCCGTATACAGTGCTTCTTTTTTTTTTCTCTCTCATTCCATGCCCTCGCACGTTCAATTCATAACTCTTGCCTGTCATGAGCCCTTGAGAGGACTAGAAGACGTGACAAGGCACTCCATCAAATGCAAGGATTATTATTATATCATGGACACAGAACAAAACTATCCTTGCTCAGGCAGGTGGCAGTGAAGGCTGGTCTGGGAAAGTATTGATACATTAATATTTTGGGGATTTTACATTGGATATCGCCTGGGGTTGCTCTTATTTCTAATGCCCTAAAAGGAGAGAATCCTTCTGTGTCTCGGCACTAATGGGGCTATTGATTATCGGACCGGTGGAATGCTGAAGCCGTATCAATTTAAGAACCCTGAGCATCAATCATTTCAGTATTGACCAGAATCGTAGTTATGTAATCTCTATGTACGTTGTAAGAACCGAAATATGGTGGTTGTGAAAATTCAATACGCTAAATTACAAAGGAAAGTGGAATAGTGACCCAACTCATAATTGCTATTGGGAGATTTACACCCAACTATTCACAGACAGAATACCCCTGGCACTTTGCAGATGATTTTTAAAAAAAACAAGGAAATAGTGCTTCGGATTGGCATTATTCTAGTTAGGAAATAGATTGGAAGAGATTGCATTGGATGTCTGCTCCATTGTGGCTTTTTTTGGTGGGTATTCCCCCCCTCCGCCCCCAGTTTCACAAACAATAACATTTATATAGTGCCCTTCACGTGGGGTAGTGTCTCGGAGTGCTTGCACTATTCCTTTCTACTCCTATGGTATAAAGGGAGAATCGCTAGAACTCTGCTTAACAAGTTGAAAACATTTAATATTGAAATCTTTTTAGTTCTGGTAGCATTCCCGACTGTCTCTGGGCAATGGATTTAATGGTTACAAGGGGAAGGGGGCGAGAAATTCAGTCCTAAGAAAAGCAACACAGCAGCTATTTTTTTCAACAATTACATTTTTTTGTGTGTTTAAGCGACTTTAGTCAGCTTGATTAATTAATAATCTTTTAAATAATGTTTCTGAATGTGACTTGTAAGATGCCGTAAGTATTAGAATAATAATAATAATAATCCTTGCATTTGATATAGCGCTTTTCACGTCGGGAGGACGTCCCAAAGCGCTTCACAGAACACACTGTAAAGTGAATTGACCGTATATTTGTGGGCGAAGGGACTGCTTTATACATTGATTTACCACCACACCTTCCCGATTGAGTTGAAGGGCTTTTTTTTAACAGCCCTCTTAGAAAACTGGCTGAGACGTGCATTTATCTAACATCAGTAATGCGCCGCTAGCCCAATCCTTTATAGAGTTACTGGGTAAGCATCGATTAAGTAGATTGATGGCACAAAATTTCAGTTGACAATTATTGCCCATTCTGTGCTGTGTTTGAATGCGCCGTGCTAAAATGTTCACAGATGCAAATTTGTTATCTTTCTTTTTTTTTAAAAAGAAAATGCATTCGGGAATAGAATACGTCGAGACATTTATTTGTGGGAGGAAAGGGAGAGGGGGCGGTTATCGGTGGCATCCTTGCCGTGAGCTATTTTCAGAGCGATGAGCTCCTTTTTAAGATTGAAATGTAACGTCATGGCAACGCTGGGGATTTATTGCCACCAAGACAGACGGAAAGAACGCACGTGAAGGATTTATTGTCAAAGTTTTTATTTGGGACAGTCAGCAAAGTGATTGGTGTCAGCCTGGCTCAGTGGGAAGCACTCTCGCCTCTCGAGTCAGAAGATTGGGGGCTCAAGCCCCACGTCGGACGTTTGAACCTATATTCTCTCAAATAAATTTGGCTGAACGGTGTAGTGCTATCCTTGGGATGAGACCCCATGACATTTGTAAAGCATAAATATTTCTCCCGGTCTCCTGACCGGCAATCCCTCAAATAAATTATTATTATCATCATCATAAATTTGGTCGTTCACTTCAGTGATGTTTGTGGGTCATTGATGTACGCAAATTGGTTGCCACATCCGCCTACAAAGTACGCAGTTTACAGTAAGTCCTGTGAAGTGCAGTGCGGGGTCATGTGTCGTGAAAGGCGTGATATCCAAACGTACGGATTATTATTGATTTGGATTCCATTCAGCAAACACCAGACCCGATACTGAAGGTTAAACTCGATTTATTTGCACTTATTTCCTTTATGCGACCAATCATCTAGGTTACAAACTGCATCTGTCTGAGAGAGTGCAGCCTCAGCGCTCGGGGCGAGCCGTCTGTTGCTGGTGTTCTCTTTGATTTGCTTCGTGCTGCTGCGCGCAACAGTGGGGTTGAAAGGGAAACGTAAGGCACAAACTGGCGCAATAATAACGTGCGATCCCGGTGGGGTCATTTTATCTTATTAAGCGCTGATTCCGTGCAGACGCGGGTCAGGCCGGGCCGTTGAGATTCGCCAAACCGAGGTTCCAACGTGTCATCGGTCTCCAGAGAGCGCTCAGTCGGGCAGCAATAAGCGTAAGGATGGCCCGCCGGTTGACAACCCGTGTTTGTTTCTCGCAGGACCATGTTGTGGCAGCAGGTACGTGGGGACAAGTTGGCCGTTTGTGCGTCGGATCTAATTTACAGCTGATTGCACCTGTGTGTGGACTCGGTAGCCATGGAAACTGGCGGCCGCGGAGAGACAGCTGGAACAAAGGCTTTGTCTGCCGGCCGCGGGGAAGTTGCCGGAGGGAACCAGGCCCAGGGGACAGCTGTGGACGCGCCATCTGAGTGCACTGATGCCACTGTTGCTGAGCAGTCGTCTGGGAAGCTGAAGAAAACGGCGTTCAAACTGTTCGGAGGGAGGAAGAGCATTTGCACACTACCGAGCTTCTTCACGGCAAAGAACAAAGGACAGGGAAAGGGGTCGTCCAGAAAGGGAATCAGTAAGAGCAAAACCCACGACGGGATAAGCGAAGCGGGGCACGGAAACAGACAGAAGGAAGGGAGCGAGAGATGTGCTGATAATCTGTCGAGCGGGGACACTAATTCCCCTGGTCGTAGCTTTCCCGCGGGCAGAAGCTTGTGCATCTCCAGAAGTGAGCACACTGCACTCGATCCCTGCGTGAAGTCTGATCTCCTTAAAGGTGAAGCGCTCCAGCCGCAGAACCCCGAAGGCTTTGTTCAGAAGCGGAGCGCGGACAAGTCTTTGGCCGCCGGCAGATCAAAGAAAGGATTGAGGGGGCTTTTCAACAGCATCAGGCGCCACAAAAAGAACAAAGCTGCCGATTCTGTTAAAGAGGAGCCGCTGGAACTACAGCTTGATAGCAAGCAGCCCGATGTTGACGTTGCACACGGGGAACAAGTGACTGTGGACCCTTGCAGCGTACGAGCTGAATTTAAGAAGGACTTGGCCGAGGAGAGTATGCTACAAGCTTCCTGTAAGATGAACAGCTCGGGCACCAGCGATCCTGCGAATAGAACCGGGGCCACGAGTTACGGAAACTCTCCGCCCGAACCTCACGCCCTCAAAGCAAGACCCGGACACGCTTTAAAGACGAAGACGAGGGACTTTAGGTCGTCCGGCACGGAGGTACGGGCAGCCCACCTGGGTGAAGTTCAGACTTCGCACAGTGGTAAGGCAGGTGCTGCCGCTCTTCACATGAACTTTAGCTGCGGCAGCATGCCTGACATTGTCAAGCCCGAGTACACGGACCACGATCCATCATCGGGGCACTCCTTTGATCAGATCAGCTTGGCCTTTGGCGACGTGACGTCCCTGAAGAGTTTCGACTCCCTCACGGGCTGCGGGGACATCATTGCTGACCACGACGACGATAGCCTGGCCGAGAGCACCATGTCGGGCGAGCGAGGCAGAGCCGGGGCCAAGCGCAGCTCCTGCCTGGTCACGTACCAGGGCGGCGGGGAGGAGATGGCCACTCCAGACGAGGTGGATGACACCTACCTCCGGGAGCTGTGGGAGAAGGCGGCTCCGGCAGCCACCAACTACGACTCCGGGCGGCACGCAGTGGAGGACGACTCCGACGACTTGCTGTTGTCGCCCAGCGAGCACGAGTGTTCAGGGCTGCACATCAGCCTGGCCGACCCCGGCATCCCCCGAGGGATTGCGGACAGCGCTATCAACAGCAGCGAGCTGGTCACCCCGCAGAGCGACCACCAAGAATCGGCGCCGAACAGCGACGAGGGCTACTACGACTCCACCACCCCAGGGCACGACGAGGAAGGGGGCGACACCATCGGCCAGAGCCAAAAGGAACGACTGCCGAGGGACAGCTACAGCGGCGACGCTCTGTACGAGCTCTTCGTCGAGCCGGACGACAGCCTGACGACTTCCCCGCCGAGCGACGAGACGTCTTTCGAGACGAAATCTCCGCCTTTCGAAAGCATGTTCCCGCCCTTTTCGAGTTACGCCGCTCGCGGCGACCGGGACGCTGCGTTCTCCGCAGAACGGGAGAAGTATCTGGCAGATCATCAGGCCCGCTGGCAGCCGAACGCAAAGAATCCGCAGCCCAAAAAGGGATCGGGCTTCAAGGAAAAGGAGAAGTTTCCAAGCGAACTGTACGAGGCTGAATTCGATCGCAAGGTCGACCTAGGAACTGTCCACCTGATGGCCAAAATGCAGCAGGTGTACGCGAGCGTGGAACCACTTGCGTCGCACACTTCGAGCAGACGTGCGAAGGCGAAAGATCATTACTTCCCCGACGCAGTCGACGAGCAGAACTGGTCTGGTCTCCAGGGGGTGAGCTGCCTCAGAGAACCCGATCACAAGCACGCAGGCAGCAGGCAGAGCGCTCACGGGAGCCACAGCTGCGGAAGGGTTCACAGTAAGTTGGCGGCAGCGGCGAACGGCGGTTACGAGTCTAACGGGGAAAAGTGCGGCAAAGCGGGAGTGCAGACGAAGGCTCCGGAGAATCGAAGTCTGAACAAGGAAACCTTGGGTCGCCCCAGTGACAGGAAAACGGACGGTGATTCAGGCGCAGAAGCCAACTCGCTGAAAAGAGTGGGAGCACTCAGGATAAATGTGAACAAGCCATCAGTTACTCCCAGGCTCTGGTTGAATTCACAGCCAACAGAAAACTTTTCCCCAACCTCTCCGAAACTCTCGGGAGCTCCGAGTCGAGCTCTTCGTTCACACAGAATATCCACGCACTGCCGACCATGGTCACCTTCGATGTCGTTGACGTCGAAAACGAGGGGGAATGCGATCAGCAGAGTGAGATGGTCACCGACGAGGAGATTTCGGCATCTTACGAGGCCTTCGACGACAATTATCACGACTGTGATGACAGGATATTACAGATGGGCGCCCAGAATCCATTCCTCGGCAATGCCTGGGGCGCTACCAGTCTTCCCCGGCACGTTAATCTTTATAAACTAGGCCCGTCGTCGCCAGCTCCACTGTCCTATAACAGAAGGAGCAGGTCTCTCGATACGGACAGCTTGGAATCTGAACTCACTGACTTGTATCTGTCAAAGGTCACGGCAGTGTCTAAGAGCACCCCTCAGTCTCCTGAAGCATCTCCATGTGAGCGGGATGGCAGAAAAGCTTCCACCCTTTATTGGCTCGGCAGTTGTAAAAGAAACTGCCAGGCGGGTTCTTTGGAAAGTGGAGAGAATACGTCCTCTCCAAACCGTTCGGGGCTGAAGCTCGCTAAATACAAGGACGTTCCTTTGTCTCCCAGGCGTAAGAGAAACTCTTCTTCACCTCGGTCTTTCTGCCCCCCAGATACAGCCGCAGGAGAACAACACACTGTTGGCCGTGTTGAGGATTCAGGTTTACGCTATAAACCCAATGGCGTTAAGCCGCCAACTCAAAGCCAGTCTACTTTTAAAAGGACTCCAGAAGGGGCCACGAACACCGTGCCTCAGAACCCTAGGAAAATGGTCAGACCATCTCACCTACCTTTGCAGAACGAGCCCTGTCGGATGCAGCCGGTGACTGGGGTGATCAGCTTTTCAAGGGAAAACACCAACGGGAAGGTGGCTTGCATCTCGCCCTTAAAGGAGAAACAGGAGGGTGTTTTTTACAAGACTTCGACTGCGAGTCAGTACTCCGACTCTGACTTTCAGGTGAAGAAATGCAAACCTGCAGGGATTCCTCAGGTGGTGTCTCCGTTTCACGCCAACAGTGCGGAAAGTGTCAAGTGCACCGCACATTCTTCTGGACACTACGGAACTGCCAACAGCAGCATGTTTAAAGGGAGAGGCAATCTCGCAATGAAGGTTCCTGTTGGATGGAATCAAAACACTACGATGGACGTGTAGTTTTTGACATTTGAGACCTGGCGGTGGGAGGGATAGGGGGGCCTGGGGGTGCGTCAGGGAATTGGGGGGGGGGGGAGAACGGGGGGGGTCGAGCTCGAGGAACAGAGCGAACCTTTGCTGCCTGATGTGTTTTTTTTTACATAATTGATTGTAAAATCACAGATATTTTCTGTATTTACCAAAGGCGTTGGATATTAATGTTAGTTTTTTCTTAAGTTATAGCGAATAGGTAAAATGCAAATGTAGCAACATCATTAGGATAGGAAGTAAATGTGCATGTCTAGTTGTAATTGTGGAAACTTGTATTAGCAAGTGCATTCTGTATGTTTTTTGTGTAAGGTGCTGCAATCCACACTTGCACTACAGAGACAGTTTTATTGAGGAATGTGCTAAAAAAAATCCTTGCCATATTTGTCTGTTGCCAGTTATGAACTTTCTGCTATAAAGGGCTGTGCAAATCGATGACGGGGCACCCTTTTCCCGGCATAACTAAGATGCAGCCGATCCCGATAAACGTAAAAAAAAAAAACTTTGCCAAGAAATACCACGCGTGGCTCACAGTTTCTCTTCCCAGATTAAAAAAAAATGCTAATTTGTGACTAATTGAACTTGTCATTCATTCCCAATTCATTGCAAACCAACAGCAAAAAAAAACAACCCCACACGCACACCAAAAATGTGTTGCAGAACAAAGATCTTTCGTGAGATGCTGTCCTCTTGAGAAATGTGGCAATGGACAGATGCTGTAGATTGACTAACACCCGGGGTTTCTCTCGTACATTTGAAAGAACAAAAAAAAATTAGCGTTTGGTCCATTAGCCCGGGTTAGCGGAGCTGAGTACGGTTTCATTTTAGTGCTTTGTAGACGGGACCCCCGACATCCTAGAGTTGGATCTTTAGGAACGTTTCTTGTTTGGGCCAGGAGCTTTATTCAGCGGGATGGAGTGTCTCGTACATTGGATTTCTTTGCCCGGATTTGGTCTGGGATGCATCCGCAGTTAAAGCATTTTCATGACCAGGCTGCTGCTTCTTTTCTGGAAGCCTTTTGTTCTTTGGAAGAATCGCTTCTTTCTGTGTAGGATCGTTCTTTTCTCGTTAACGTTTTGGGAGATATTAAATTACTTCTTGTCGACAATCTTTTTTCATGAAAGAGCGATCTGCAAGTAAGGTGTCCCGTTACACGTTTGATTCTGTTTACATGTTCTAAGAAACCAAGATGCACTATTTTTACAGCCGGCAAAAAAGTATTTCCTTTTTTAAGCGTTTTTTTGGGGGAGGATAAAACATGTGAATGGGCAAAAAAAAGTAAGGAAAAAGTTTTCTTTAAGAGGAGCTTTCTTGATTTGGTTTGGAGACACGCAAGCTGACTTTTATCTCCCACCTCTGTGATATCTTTAAAAAAATCGCAATTTGTTGTACTTTCATGGTCTGACTAGAGCGCTAGCAGTAAATGCCTTTGTTTCTATTTGACAGAAGAATCTGTTTTCAAAATGCTTCCTTTTTTTAACTAATGGGTGCTATTATTGCCAGTGTATGTGGTTCAATATGGTTTTGACAACAAGGTGATGAGTTCTCTTTTTTTAAAAAAAATGCTTCCTCTCTCTCTCTCTCTTCACTTTCTGGGATAATAATTCCTGTTGAATGACTAATTAACCAAAAAGAGTTAGACATATTTTAAGGTGCTGATTGCAATGGAAAGGAAGCCATCTCGGGCTTATTATCAAGTGAATACTTGATCAAAGTAAATCAAAGTCTTTTTTTCTGTTTACTCTGACAAAAAAGGCGAATGAATTGTTGTGTCTTCATTGCTCTCTCTCTCTCTCTCTTGCTCTCTCAGCCTGATTACATATCTTTACCACGGAGCCTAAACTTGTTACGGAATAGTAAATGGCAATTGGCACAGGCTTGGCTATTGGCATGTGCAGCTGTTCGGATTAAGGGATGCTTGCGGGGACCTGTTGGCTCATTTTTAACAAGTATTTATGGATTGACGTATGGTGGTGGCTTGTGAAGCCAGACTGATTTGGCACAACTGTTAAGGAGCTGTGAATACTTCAGTTTGGCCTGCCTGCCAATCGCTATATGCATCGATTAATTTTGAGTTTCTTTAAATGTAACTCAGTAAAATCCTTTCAGAATGATATCTTGCTGTGCCATGATTTGGGGAGTGCAGGGAACTTGTACTGTCAGGAGCCACTGACTGAGGGATTGAAAACAGGAATAACGTCAATCTGAAAGGTGATGGCGATCTGTGTCACAAAAGGCTTGAGATTGTGTGAGCCTTTTCGGAGTTGTAACCGAACTTGCGTCTAAACTTCGTTCTAAACTTCATTGCTAACTGATCTGAAACTGACTATATTTCACCCAAATAAAATTGTGTTTTTTTTTCTCTCGGCTCATCCGAAAAGAGTTCAGCCAAGGATCTCGCTCTCTCTTGATCATTGCCCAGTGATCCCTGTTGGTATTTGTGTGAATGCCAGGTGAGAACAGGAGTAGGCTCAGCTGTGGTATCCCCCCCAAGGATGAATAGACTGCCAACACTTGCTAGTTAAGCTCGCACATGAAGAATAACTGGGTGAGATACTAGTGGTGCCTGTGGAGCTGTACTCTATTGTGAATGAGGGAGGAGTAGGGAGAAAGAGCATTGAATAACGATCTTGAGCAACAGACGACAGGCAGAGAGATGTGTAGAAGCCGTATTTTGCTGAGCCACAATAAGCATGTAGTTAGCACTACAAATGTGGCAGAAATTGTTCTCCACGACTCACTGTCAGGTGCTCTGTTGTTTGGTGAGCAATTGAAATGTTTAACGGTATAAACAGTGCACAGAAATGATAATTTTTAGTGCTTGCTTTTTTTCCAGAGTGCCACTTGCTCTCAATTATTATACTATCCCTGAAGTGCAACAGCACACCAGGGAGAAGTTTTGTGCGACATATTGTTTGATGACTGAAGGCAAACAGTAACTGATTGAAGATTATACAGTAGCTGCAATTTCACTTCAGCGAATGTTACTCTGCTTATTTGAATTTGAATTTTGTGCTCCTTTAATGAAAAAATTTGCAGCTTCACCATATGCTGTGCCCAATTGGCTGCCGAGTTTTGCCCACAAATATTCTGTGAACCGTTTTGAGACGTCTAGAAGACGTGAAAAACATTATATCAAATGCAAGGATTATTATTATCAAAGGCACTTCCGACCTTTTTATTCTAAAGATTCCAGTTTCCCCATTAGTGGCCATCAAAAATAAATTCATTTGTGTTTAGCCACCCAGAAGGGAGAGATCTACTAAATTATAAGGCTGTTTGCACTTTTATGACTGCATTAAACCTCTTGAGATGCAAAATCTATTTAGATTTACCCTGTAAGACCATTTAACCCTGCAAGTTAAGCAACTTAATTTAGAAACTGACTTTTTAAGAGCTGTGGAAAACAGTTACCAAGTCGAGATGGCATTTAAGATTTTTCAACAATTCTGTGCCATCTTACGTCGCACAAGACTAGGTGAACCTTCAGGTGGTTTGCAACCGCTGTTTATGACTTATGTCCGCATTCCTCGAATATGACCTTAGAATGCCTTGCATTTCATAAACAACAAAAACTTACCCAATGATTCCCTTTACTTTCTGTGGAGCGATTAACTTATTGCTTCTGAGTTGGGGAATCACTTCTTTTTAGTTTAATATGCAAACTGTGATATCCTTTTGCTCCGCTGTACCAAATATTCAAATATTACCTAAATATGGGATCAAAATGGACAATAATCTCGTTAATTCCTCGCCTAAACATGCAAAACTTTTATATTTGATTGTCATATCTAGGGAATATGCAACACATATTGAGGAGACAGCATCCTTTTTGACCTACATTCATTTTTATTCTGCAGAAGGAAGGATTGGGAAGGCTGGAGAAAACTCAAAATGAAGTAAACTTCAAGTGCATTTTTGAAAAATGTGGTACGGTATTGTGTCTAATGATCGAGTAAATTAGTAAAGCGATGAATTTTTGAGAGGGAGATAAATTGGCACAAAGGTTGAAAGCAAAGGGAGAATATTCTCTACCGATTTGTAAAAATGTCAGTCTATAGAGGTGCTCCGTCTCTTTCTGAATATGACGCGAGCCTTATTTGCACACGAGTGTACTGTACTTCTATACTGAACATGCTTTATATTGTCACTAGTGCACAATGTGTTTGCTACAGTGGTCAGAAGGCCTGTTGTCGTTCTGAATGTGTAATAAATGTACTAAGGTGCCTTAATAACAAAACGAGTTTAGCGTCTAGTCACATCAATAAAACTGTTACTGTCATCTTGCCAGGATAAAGAGTTAATGCACGGGCTCCTGCCAGTCTTTGTGTTTGTTAAAGCGCTTGCTTTATATGTATTTTCTTGTGTTTAACCTCTTAAGTGGTCAGTCAGCCGTCGCCCTTCGAATAAACCCGTGCTCGTCGCTGTGGTGTAACTTGTTGTAAATAGTGTCGTACTGTACAGAACCGTGGCCGCTGCTCGGTGCAGAAAAATGCCTTTTCTTTTTTGTATTATAAATTGTTTTGCGGATCTTTGATATTTCAACTGTCGTGCTCCACGTATCTGTGCTAGTTATTCTCTCAGAGTCTCCTGTCGAGCGATTGCACAGGACCGTGTGCAAAGGAAATTCAATAAAACTGAACATTGGAGCAAAGCTTTTTTGCGTATTTATTCCCCCGCCTCTCCCGACATTCTTAATGGAAAGTTCTCGTTGCTGTCTGTCGTGGCTCAGGATTCCTTTTATGCATGTGTCATTTATGAAACTTGCGTATTCAAAGCTCAGTGTTTGGTTAAAGCAGATCGTAGAAGGTAACACTTCAAATTGAAGTACTTCTTTCCTTGTTGCAACTCGCCCAGAACATTTAAAACATTTTACTATCGTGGTAACAAATCTTTGTACAGTACCTCTGATGCATTGCAATAATGTTCACTTACCAGACAGCAATTGGTTTCTGCTCAATTACCGGGATGTTTTAGGGTGCCTGTGCG